ACCCCCCCACCCCCCTGGCTCGGCTTGATCTGGGGCTGGCTTCAGTGCATGGTGGGCTCCTCGATTTGCCAGCAGAACAGAGGAAGTGAGAGGAACGGGGCTTCGGTTGACCCCAGTGTGGCCTCTTGCAGGCTGTGGGTGCTGGGATAGCTTCTCAGCTCCATTTTCCGATCTCAGAGACGGCCTGCTACCGGTAGAGCCTTGATTCTTGCCTCGAGAGCCATCTCTCACAGTTCCTGTCAGATGGGGGCATGTCCGCTCCCTTTCACGGGTGAGAAATCGAAGGTCCAGGAGGTTGAGAAGCTTGTCCAAATTCGCACAGCTGTTATGCGGCAGAGGCGGGATTTGAACTGAGGTCTGAGTCCAGCACTCATGGCCTTGACCGTTATGCTGTTCCATCTCCATAAAGGACACTTGGAGGGGTCAGCGTAAGCATATATATGAAGGGCCAGCATGTGTCTAGCCTTGGGAAGTGTCAGCAGGACATAACTTGCTCCTGAACCTGAGTCCCCACTGGCCTGACCTTCCTGTTGTTGGGTGGGCACTTAGGACTTCACCCGGCCCTCTGGCTGGCTTATGCAGGAGGAACCCTGGTAGAGGGGCCTGCCAACCCCTCCACTTCCAACAGATGCCCCGCAGCGTCCTCTGTGCTCTGCTCTGGCCCTTCAGCAGAAGGCATTCGGTTGCTCCCTGGAGGAGCATGGAGTCAGGTGGGGCAGATGAAGGGGGAAATGGGCCCTGGGGGCTGGTGCTAATGTCACTAGCAGACCTGGTACTTGGCTGCCCCCTGGTACTTGGCTGGAAGTCCAGCTGGGGGGGTGGACCAACCCCAAGAGCACCCAGGCAGAAGGAATGGGGGTGCCGCAGCACCGGCTGTAAGGGCATGGGGTGGACAGTGGCATGGGCTGGTGCATGTCCAGGCCAGGCTCTGGCCTGTGACTTTGTATACACTCCCCAGCTTCTGTAGGGAAGCCAGAAAGAGGAAGGCAGGGAGACAGAAACCACACGGGGCATGATGAAAAACAGCCAGGGCGGACTGGAGCTGTAGCCTGGGCCTGAGGCACTGCCACCTGGTTCTCGGGCAGAGGCCCAGGACCTGTCCCCGCAAGCTTAGATTTATGGGTGGGGGGCGGCCCAGGGCAGGGCCAGGGGAATTTAGCTGGTTATAGGGGCCACTTTTACCTGCCCACACCCTCCCTCCAACTCAGGGTCTGGCCCAACTCTGGCAGCAGCGGCACAGATGGGAAGCATGTCCCAGGCTGTCTGGTGAAAGGTAACAGTGGCCCCTGCAGCCAGGTGCTGAGATAGGAGGACAAATACCTTTCCCCAGAATGCTCTCTCCCTGCTCTGGATCTGCCCAGCCCCTTCCTCCAGGAAGCTCTCCAGGAGTCATAGAGAGGAGCGTCCCCTAGGCTGAGTCTGCAGCTCATACGTGGCCATCCACTGTACGGGAGAGAAAGCTAGGAAATGAGTCTGGCCCCAAGGGGCAGGTGGGGAGGCAAAGGCATTCCCCTTGCTGAATGGAGGTTAAAGCCAGGCTGGTGGAGCAGGAGGGATGCTCTCCCTCCAGCAGAGGGGCCTGTGGGTGCTGGACCTGGATAGGCAAGGTGAGAGGCTAGCTGGGAGGTGTAAGGACACAGAGCCCTGGGAGAGGAGGCCACAGCAGGTGTCCAGTCCAGCAACCTTGAGGCCACTGTGGATTAGGACTGTGGGTACAGAGACAAGGATGGCGGGTGAGGGCAGAGGCCCAGGCTGCGTGCTGGGAGGGAAGGGAGGCCGAGCAGGCCTCAAACCAGGGTCTACTGAGGTGCTGAGGGGATCCCTGACATCATACCCTGCCTGTTTGGGATGGAAAAGACATACTAAGGGGACATCAGGGAGCAGCTGGAGGAAGTGTATGGGGCTTTGATAATGGCAACCGGCTTGTTTCTATAGGATTTGGTAGCTCAGCTTCGGCTTGGCCAGGGGGCCCTGGGCAGGGGCTCACCCAGGGGCTGGGTGGTCCGTGGGTGATATGAGGGGCTGGGCCTGGAGCTCTGGCTGTAGTCCAGCCGGCCACCCACGGCTCTGTGCCAGGCAGGGCTGAGGTCTCCTGAGCCACCAGTGCTCCCCCCTGGAGCAGTCACCACCAGATGTGTGGCCTGATGGGGTTCTCAGGGCACGCCTACCCCCTCTCTGGCTCCACACTTGCTTTTCAGGAGACCCCACCACGCCCACTCCCTGGGGCGCTGGAGGAGCTGCCTCAAGGCGGGGCTTGGCCCTAGTGGGACCTGTTTCCGGCCACCCCACTACCCCGATTCCAGCATTTACAGCGTGCACTGCCCACTCCACTGGCTGCGAGCCGCACGGACCAAACTGGGGGGCCTGGGTCCCACATTCCCAAGGGTGAGGGCTTAGCAGATGCTATTGGCCTCCGTCCAGGGGATGGGCTGGGGAGGGGTTCCCCAGAGAGCTGGCCTGCCCTCTGGTGCAAGCTGCCCAGAGAAGGGGGCTGGGGAGGGCTTTCCCAAAGAGGAGCTGGGGGTAAAGTCCAGGGGCTGGGGCATGATAGGTGGATCTCTCGTTCTTCCCTGGGCAATGAGTGTACCCCAGGGCCCCAGAAGTCCTTTGGACATGGACGTGGGTGGACAGAGATCCCTGGGCCTTGACCCTAGGCTCAAGCAAGGGGTTGCAGGGGGGCTGCTTCTGCACCGACCCTGAGCGCCCTTGGGCACCACTCCCCCACCAGCCTTACCTGAGGCAGGCAGACCCATCTCCACCAGGACCTGGGGCCTTCAGTCTTTAAGAGAGAGAATCCACACGTCCCGTGGGCTCTGCTGAGCCACCTGGAACAGGCAGGGTGGGGACTTGGCTGGGAAGGGGGGGAAGGGGGGGAGCGGAGCTGTGGGGATGTCCTATCTCGCCCTCCTCCCACCCCAGCTGTGCCTGGCAGGCTGAGCCCGCAGCGTTTCCCAGTCTGGGAGAGTCCAGTTGTCTAGTTGACAGCTCCCTGGTCCGCCAGGCGGTGGTGGAGTGGTGAGGAGGCCTACCCCCTCGGGGGCTGGGGCACACCCCCCCAGCACAGCTGGGCCCGGCCAGGGGGGTGAGGAGCTGTGCTGTTGTGTTTCCGGGGTTTGGGCCTGCAGAGCTGAAGGATGCCAGAGAAGACTCTTGCAAAATGCAGCCCCTAGGGAGCGGGGCTGAAGGCTCGATGCATCTTGCTCAATTCCACGATGCTTAGGGTAGGATCTGATCCTTGTGTTCAGGGGCACACATTTAGGGGGGGCGGTGGCCTGCAGCCTGGGTCCCCCCTCCCCCCCCCCGCCCCCAGCTCCCTGGCTGGGGCCGCATGCCACCCCATGTAAACGGGGAAGCACTTCCCTCCCTCCTTCTTTGCTCAGCTTTGCTCTCTGGCTAGGCCAGGCCTGTGTGTCTGCCGCCAGGGCCGCTATTGGCCGTCAGGGGACTTTCCAGCCGATTTGCATGTTGCCCTGCTAGTCCTGCGTGCCTTTCTGTTTACTTCACTTCGGAGGGAGGGAGAGCCAGACGCCCGCTCTCTCAGACTGCAGCAACACGCACACAGGCCCCACGGGGCCTGGCGGGCTGGCCGCAGCCCCGGGGGGAGTCCCTGTTGGGGTCCCGGCTGCCTGGAGCCAGCAGCGGGCCTCTGGGCCTTGGGAGCTTGCAGCAGAGGGAGCAGATGGATTGTAAAATCCAGGTCAGTGTGGGCCAGCCACCCCCGCGTGACCCACCCCCACCCTCCTCCCAGCACGCACAGTGGTGCTGAGGCTGGAGCCAACCTTGGGCTTCCTGAGAGCTGAGCCCTAGAGCTCCTCCGTTCGAGCTGTCTGGACCTCACCCTGGCCAGGGTGGCCTTCATCTGAGCAGGGTGGTCCCCAAGATTTCCTACTTAGCATGGAGACAGCAGCGGGGCTGGAGGTGGGGCTCCTGGACACACCGTATTCACATCTCTGTCCAAGGGCCTGATACTGGCCACTCCCAGGAGCCCCTGCCTCACCCCCCCAAGAGGAAAAGCCACTGGACAGCCTGGTCTGGGACACACAGCCAAGTCCCTTGAGTCACAGCAGGGGTGGGTGGGCAGGAGGGGGAGGCTTTGGCCGACCTCTTGGGTCCCCCTATTTAGCCGGACCCATAGGGCACTCTGAGCACGAGGGGGCCGTACTTTGTGGCCATGCCAGCTCAGGAGCTGAGAGCCACCCCATAGAGGCCTGAGGCCAGAAGACCGGGAGAATGGCATTGCAGGTGACATTTGAAGGAGCAGGTGGACGAGAGAGGAGATGGGGGTGTGTGTGTGACAGCTCAGGAGCACAGTGTGGGGACACAAGGCTTGAGAGCCAGCCTCCTCCCTGTGGACCTGCAGGTTGGCTTGGAGGACCACTGAGTAGCTCTGGTGTGTGTGTGAGGCAGACGTGGCCAGTTGTGCCAGGTCACGGGGGCCAATGGAGAAGGTGCTGGAGCCAGCCGCGTGCTGTACACATACCGGGTAGGGGCAGAGCGCGTCTCTTGCCTACTCCCACGGGGTGGGAGGCTCAGCAGCCCTTCCACCGGGGGCGCTTCTCAGCTCAGCGGGGCCCTCAAACTGCAGGGTGGGCCCCGGCCTGCCACGCCCCCTCCCGCCCCAGAGGAGCAGGACCAGGGGCCTCCTCAGGAGTTGCTGACGCTGGTTCTGATGGCTGGGCTGGGCGGCGGCTGATGAGCCCGTGGTGTGGCATCCCAGGGGGCTGCTCAGGGGTCTTCCGGGGTAGAGAGCTCATGCGTGCCAGGTGGCAGCAATTCTGGGTATGTGGCTTCCTCCTCGGGGGGAGCCTGGCTCCAAGCTGGGGCCTTGTGGCTATAGCTGACTCAGGGCCATAGCAGGAGACCCTGACCCTGGGAGGGCCCCTGGGAAGGTGGGCGCTGCCCTGGCAATGGAGCAGCTCACCCCAGGCTATCCGTGATCTGGTCAGCTGGCTGGTGCCTTCTAATAGCCAGCGCTCCTGGGGCCCAGCCAGGCCCCTCTCTGGGTGTATGAGGGGCGGTTCTTGGAGGCCCAGGATGATTCCCACTGTGCCTTCTCCCTGCCACCTCAGCCCGCGAGTCCCGAGTCAACAGCTGGGCAGTGAGAGGGTGTCCCCTGTTTCCAGAGTAGGTGACCTGCACAAGGTCAGAAGTCAGGGCTCTCATCTCCTCCCCCTGCCTGAAAATGGCTTTAGCTGTGTGATGAGCCTCTGAGTGTTAGGCCCCAGGTGTGTCTCTGACAGGTTCTCTGGGGCGTGGCCAGTGTCCTTCCATCTTGCAGACTGGGGCTGTCCAGGGCCCGACTGCACCTACCCTGGCAGGAGGCGGGCATACAGCTTGATCCCATCCTGTGTGCCACACCATGGCCCAGCCTTGGCCCCCAGAACACTTGCCCTCAGACCCAGAGGATCACACAGAGCACCATGGGGGCTCTCCACCCCTGGGGTGGAGTTGGTGGCTTTTCTAGAAGGCTAGGCCTTGAAGGAAGGTAAAGCCGAGTGCCCGCTGCACCCAGGGCCTCCTCCCTCCCTTGAGGGCCTGTGCACACCTGGGACGGGAGGGAGGGGAAGGGACTTTGCCCCTGTGGATCTGCCCTTGTCAGCCTCCCTGCCACCACAGTGTGCCCGTCATGGACTAGCCAGAGCAGGCCACCTGACAGGGGCCAGGGCCACCATCTTTAAAGCCATCCTTTGTACTCCCCCGCAGGAGATGCGGCCCGAGGACCCTAGATGCCTCTCTAGAGCATGAGCTCGGGCAAGAACGCCCGCTACAACCGCTTCTCCGGGGGGCCTACCAACCTTCCCACCCCAGACGTCGCAGCTGGGGTAAGGAGGGCCTTATGGGTGTGGGCCCCCTGCTGGAGGGCCCCCTCGGCGGAGCTTCCAGCGTAGTCCTCTCCTCACCTGGAGGGCCTGCGGGAGGGCTGTGCCGTGTATATTGGTGGTGTGTCCCTGGGTACGCACGCGTGCATGTGGGCACGTCGGCGGGAGAGCGTGTCCGTGCGTGCTCCCATGTGTGTCCTCACCCTCTCCGGGGGTCAGTGCCAAGTTTCGTGCGTTCTCTCTCCAGACCAGAATGGAAACGACCTTTGGGCCTGCCTTTTCGGCCGTCACCACCATCACGAAAGGTGAGCCTGCAAGCCCTGGGCCAGCCTGGGCTCGGCAGAATCTGGGCGCCCCCCCTTCATGCCAGGGTCTGCGGGGCACTTCCTGGTGGGGCGGGAGTGGGGCGCTAGTGTTGGGGAGTGGGCGGGATTCCCACTCCCTGCTCCTCTTCCACCCTGCCACCACCCCCCCCGCCCCTCCTCAGGGCCTTGCCCCTTCCCACTCTGGGGAGGGCTGCCCTGACTTCCCGGCACCCCCACCCGTCCTTCCCCTTGTTCTCGTGAGCCCTGGCTCATCCCCACCCCGGGCTCCTAGCAGGGCCCGAAAGGCCGGGACTGGGGAGCACATGGGGCACGGTGGGTGATGAGAAGTACTCACGGGGTCCTTTCTCTAGCCGGGTCCCGCTGCTGGGCCGTGTGTTTGCGGAGGGCCTCAGGAGCTAGCCAGAGAGGGCACCCAAGAGGCTGTGGCCCCTCTTGTCAGGGCGGGGGGCTCGGGTCGGAGTGTGCGCTTCTGCTGTTCGGTTTGCTGTTCCTCGCTGTGTGGCTAGTTTCTCAGCTTCCCCAGGGCTCCCTCCAGTGGGGTGGCACGCATGCTCACACTGGGGGACCCAGCCCCGCGCTCTGAAAGAGCCCTTTTTTCTTCTTACACGTTCTCTTCTGAGGAAAAGAAAATGAACGGTCCCCGTTCATCCCAGCACCCAGGGCGCCCTCCTGAACGCCTCTGCCCCCATCAGGAGCTGTGAGCTCCCTGTCCTGGTTCCCCCAGCGTCCCGGTCGGGCGCGACGGCAGTCTGTCCCACTCTCGCCCCCCCTGCCACCCGCTCCGTGGTGGGGATGGGTCAGAGCTGGGCGTGAACAATTGCCTCACCTGGCCCCTCACGTTACAGATAGAGAAACAGAGGCCCAATCCCAGGGCAGCTGCTCAAAGCCTGAATCATGAACCCAGTCTTCGGGGCTGCTAGTGACGTCTGGGTTTGGTTGGGGCCTGAGGCTACCGCCTGCAGGGCCTGTGAGGGAGGTTCTCTGGCTCCCACATGGACCCCTGACCAACACCTGTGGAGGGGGCTGAGAAGGCCCGAGGCTGGTTCCAGGTCTGGCCACGGGAGCAGGTGGAAGATGGGTGGACCCAAACAGTGGGCTGTCTCCCAGTCCCCACCACATACCAGCCAAGGGGCCTCAGGACTCTCTGTCCCTCCGTTTCCTCCTGTGTAAGGCCGTCAGAGCCCCCCCCTCCCCTGCCCCAGGCAGGGTTTCCTTGAGGGCCAAGAAGACGAGCTCCAAGCAAGCCGCCTCCAGTATAATCACTCAGGTGTCGGCCTCGTGCCTCCACCGGGCACAGGGAAGAGCCCTCCATCCTCCCTTCAGCCTGCCTGGGGACTGCAACTGTTGGGGGCTGCTCCCTTCCTGGGCCACTGGGGCTCCAGCTGGGGGCTCGGGCCAGCTCACGCTCCTGCCCTTGCCCTGCTCAGGTCCCTGCTGGCGGCACGGGCTTCCCAGCTGCCCATGAGCCCAGCCCCGGCCCAGTGGCCCTCAGATCAAGAAGAAGGCCGTGGGAGTGGGTGGGAGCAAGGAAACCTGGAGAGGACTAACCCCATGTCAGGCCCAGCCCCTGCTGGGCCCATCTGCCCAGGGGGCCCACCTTCCGCCATGATGGGCCAGGCATGCCCCCGTGGCCCACACTCAGGGCGTCCCAACCCTCTTCTCTTGGCAGCTGATGGGACCAGCACATACAAACAGCACCGCAGGACGCCGTCCTCCTCCAGCACCCTCGCCTACTCACCGCGGGATGAGGAGGACAGCATGGTAGGTCTGTGCCGTGACCACCTCTCCCCACAGCCTCCTGCCATGTCCTCCTTCCCGAGGCCCAGGTCCCAGGAGTAGCTGAAGCGGGAGGCTCAGCTGCGAGGCATGCCCCGAGCCAAGGTCTGCAGGGTGTAGTGGGCTGGGGAGGCTGAGGGCTGGTGTGTCTGGACACCCTAAGGCCTCAGCACCCATGGCTGGACTGCATGGGAGAGGTGGCTAGAGAGGGCAGCTGGGCTTGGGGGTGCAAGGCCCACAAGCTGGAGCCATGGGACCCAGAGAAGTTTCGGTCATGCGGGGAACGAGATCAGAGTTGCGTTTTTAACGCTGCCTCTGCTGTTGAGTAGAGGATGAGTGGGTGGGCTGCCGGGTGGAGGTAGGAGGCCTGAGCAGGTGACTGGAGGCTGGGTGGCCCGAGCCGGGCACGAGAAGCCTGTGGGAGAGCCAGAGAGCTTCCTGCCTTGGGCACTGCAGAGTGAGGAAGGGGGTCGTGGCAGCGTCGGGGCTGGCCGTCAGTGCCCAGGCCGTGTGGCCAGGGTTACTGTGGCTGTTCTCTGCCTGTCGGGGCCCTGGGCCAGGGGCTGCCTTGGGCCCTCCTGCCGCTCACCTTTCCTGTGCTTTCTGCCTTCCCTCCGCGAGATCCGGCCGGCGTGTGCCTGGCTGACTCCAGCTGGTTCTCCTGCCCTCCCAGCCCCGCAGGACCCAAGTCTTCACATGCTGGGCTGCCGGGCCTTGGTTTCCTATTTAACACGAAGAAACATGGGGTTTTTAGTTATTTAAACATTTTAGCTATCTTAGTTACTTAGTTAACTGAAGGCCGCACTAGGCCTTCTTGAAGCAGGGAGCAGATACGTTGCGCCCCGCTCCCTCTGGCTGCACCTGCCTCAGTCTCCATGACCTCTGACACCCATGGCTGGGGGGAGGGGATTTTTTCCCCCAGCCTCGCACAGAGGTTGGGACAGGGGCGGCTGGGCCCATGGGCTGTGTGTGGAGGCAGGAGGCTTCTGGGTGCAAGAGGAGGAGCATGAGGAGCAGTGGCTCTTACAGCATCTCCGTTGGGGATTCTAGGTCAAGAAGGGAGGGGGGAACAGCACCCCCACCCGGGGCCCCACCCAGATCCTCCCCCTCAGCGGCTCAGGCAGAGGCAGGCCCCCATGGCCCTCCCTCCTGCTCTCAGCATCTCGGCCAGGGTTCAGTGGGGCGTCCCTGCCTTCCCCGGGAGCCTCTTTGGCCTGGCCCAGCATCCCCGTCCAGGGAAGCCTGATGGGCAGCCAAGCCCCAGGGGACCCGGAGCCCTGAAGCCTCCGCCAGCCGTCCCTTCCTCTAGCCGTCCGGGCGTTGAGGCCGGCCCAGGACTGGCTGATGGAGGCGCCCCGTGTGCAGCCCACACTCCCTCACGGGAAGCAGGAAGCAGGCCAGGCGAGCGTGTCCTCCTGGAATTGAATAGCAGGAAGTCTCTCCATTTACACAAAGAAAGTTGGCAGATGTGCGCGGGTGGCCCAGCAACAGGGCCGGGACCGCTGGGCAGGCTGGGGCCTGGGCACCGCACCGGCTCCCAGGGCACACGCGGTGGCCTTGTGGGGCAAGGGAGCGCCCGCTAGGGCTGGGGGGGGCCCTGCCCTCCCCCCTGGCTGACGGGCTGCCTGCCCCCGTTCACCGCAGCCCCCCATCAGCACGCCACGCCGCTCCGACTCGGCCATCTCCGTCCGCTCCTTGCACTCGGAGTCCAGCATGTCCCTGCGCTCCACGTTCTCGCTGCCTGAGGAGGAGGAGGAACCGGTAGGTGTGTCCGCCACGGCAGGGTGGCCCCCCCGTGACATGGCAGCTGCGGCGGCACCTTCCCCCTGGGCCTGGTGGGAGGGGGTGATGCGGCCTAGTCCCCCAGGCATGCTCTTCCCACATCTCGGCCCAGGGGCTCCCCAGCACCGGCTTTGGGAAGTGAGGGAAGAGCCCATGGGGGGTCCCCGGTCCCCATCGCAGGTGGACAGGATGCGCCGACGGCCCAGGCCCCTCAAGCTCAGGTCCAGCCCCAGGCCTCAGCAGGCCCTTCTTGGGCCCCACCGCAGCTGAGGTTCCTTCCCCGCCTGCGTCTGTGCCCCCAGGCCCCACTCTCAGCCCGCCCTGCCCGGTTCTAGGAGCCGCTGGTATTTGCCGAGCAGCCCTCGGTGAAGCTGTGTTGTCAGCTTTGCTGCAGTGTGTTCAAGGACCCCGTGATCACCACGTGTGGGGTAAGGCCGCCCCGGGCCACCCTGCCCGGCCCTTCCGACCTGTGCACCCTCACGGGGCCAGGCGGGCTGCCGGCCCCTTTGGTGCAGAGCCTTGGCCCTGCAGGGGACACGGGTGGGGGGGTGCAATTCCGTGGCCATGCTGCAAGCCCACCCATTGTCTCCACAGCACACGTTTTGTCGAAGATGTGCCCTAAAGTCAGGTAAGGCCCTCCCAGACCCAGGCCTGGCCACCTCATTACCCAGCTTGTGGGGGGTCCCTCCAGGGAGGTCCTAGCCCATGCCCAGCACCGATGGTGCCCCTGGTACGTGCTGGCTTCTCTCTAGTCTTGCCCCAGCAGCAGCCCCGGGTGTGTGCAGGCTGGGCTCCACACCTTGATGGGCAGAGCCGTGAGACCCACAGCTCAGGGGCCCCGGGGCTCTGCAGCTGCTGTCTCTGGCAAGAGCTGCCCTCGCTGTCACGGCTGCCCACCTCACTGTCCCAGGCCTTGGCGCCTGGGCCCAGGGCTGGTTCCTCTCCGTGCTCTGTTCCCAGCTCCCTCCACCCCATCCCAGACTCCTAAGTCAGCTGAGAGGCTCCATCACCTCCTACACCCAGTGGTCACTCTTGGTGGCCCAGCTGTGCACCCCTCCTGTTTCAGGCACCTCAGCGGGGCAGGTAGATGGGGGGATCCACCCAGGGGGATCCACCGAGCATGTTCCAAGCCTGCCACACCAGGACTCAGTCTCCCACCCCAGCACAGCCCGGCCACAACGCTTTGAGCAGAGTTGCCAGGGCGGGGGGTCGCCAGGTGGACCGTGGGGTCAGCCTGTCCTCCCCTGCAGAGAAGTGCCCCGTGGACCACGCCAAGCTGACGGTGGTGGTGAACAACATTGCGGTGGCCGAGCAGATCGGGGAGCTCTTCATCCACTGCAGGCATGGCTGCCGGGCGGCAGGGGGTGGGAAGCCCCCCGTCTTTGAGGTGGACCCCCGAGGGTGCCCCTTCACCATCAAGCTTAGTGCTCGCAAGTAAGTGCCCCCCTCGTCCCCCACTCTTCATCCCCCAGGGGCACTGAGACCCGGTGCCTCTGGGGACTCAGCCCGCAGTGCCCTGCCCCCCCCCCCAAGGGACCACGAGAGCAGCTGTGACTACAGGCCTGTACGATGTCCTAACAACCCCAGCTGCCCGCCTCTCCTCAAGATGAACCTGGAGGCCCACCTGAAGGAGTGCGAGCACATCAAGTGTCCCCACTCCAAGTACGGGTGAGTGGGCGGGGGCGGGCGTGCGGGGGCTGCCCCGGGCCGGTGGTGGGCAGGCAGGAGGGCGGGGGCGGTGGCGGCTGGGCTGGCATTCACAGTCCCTCCTTCAGCAAACCTCTGTTGAGATCCGCTTGTGTGCTGAGCGCTGGGGACACAGCCAGGGTCCCCAGGGAGACGGACCCTAGCGGGAGCCACACCACCAGCTGTGTAATACAAACTGAGGTACAGGTGCCGCGAAGGAGAGACCTGAGCCCTCCAGGAGCGCAGAGGGCTCGGAGCGGTTGGGGAGCCGGGGGGTCAGGGACGGTGGGCCCTGAGGACTCATGCATGTGTGCGTGTGAACCAAGGAGCAGTGTGGGGGCCAACACGGGTGGAGGGGAGAGCCAAGGTGTGGCGGGCCCGAGAAGAAGCGGGACTGGGAGGCTGGCAACGGCTGTGGGAGAGCCCTTGAGGAGCTTTGAGCAGGAGCAAAGTGACGAGATTTCCTTATAAAGTGGCCTGCTAGATGCTGAGCGGTGGCAGGACGGATGGGCGGGCCGCAGGCGTGGGGAGGATCGTGGCAGAAAAGTGGGACTCGAGAGAGATCCTGGGGCTAGCGGGGCTGGGGAAAGGGCCCTGCCAGGCAAGGAGATGAGCAGGTGGGCAGGGCGACTGTCCTGTCCCTCCAGGTGCACCTTCATCGGGAACCAGGACACCTATGAGACGCACCTGGAGACGTGCCGCTTTGAGGGCCTGAAGGAGTTCCTGCAGCAGACAGACGACCGCTTCCACGAGATGCACGTGGCGCTGGCCCAGAAGGACCAGGAGATCGCCTTCCTGCGCTCCATGCTGGGCAAGCTCTCAGAGAAGATTGACCAGCTGGAGAAGAGCCTGGAGCTCAAGTTCGGTGAGGGCATGCCCCAGAGAGGCAGGGTTGCAGCCCCTGTTCCTGGTCCCTGACGCCGTCTTCCTGGCCACTCAGATGTCCTAGACGAAAACCAGAGCAAGCTCAGCGAGGACCTCATGGAGTTCCGGAGGGATGCATCCATGTTGAACGTGAGCAGCAGATGGGGGCCAAGTGCAGGGGGCGGGGCGGGCGGAGGGGGGCACAGGACTGCCCCTCAGCTTGGGCCCCTGCAGGAGGCTTGGCCGCACTCGGAGTTAGGGATCTGCCGGGGAAGGCTGCTGCTGCACCTGTGCTGTCCCGGCCCAGCCCGGTCTGGGGGCGGGGGGCCCGGAGCCACACCCAGCGGGCCCTCTGCTCTTGGCCTTGGCAGGATGAGCTGTCCCACATCAACGCGCGGCTGAACATGGGCATCCTAGGATGTGAGTACGGGCCTGGTGCTGCCCCCACCACTGCCCCTGAGTGCCGCCAGGCCCTCACCAGCTCCCCCTGTGTCTGCAGCCTATGACCCGCAGCAGATCTTCAAGTGCAAAGGAACCTTCGTGGGCCACCAGGGCCCAGTCTGGTGTCTCTGTGTCTACTCCATGGGGGACCTGCTCTTCAGCGGCTCCTCTGACAAGACCATCAAGGTGAGTGGGGTCTTGCCTCGGGGGTGGGCACGCCTGCCAACCTCTGCCAGCCCTGGCCTGCCTGCAGGTGGCTCACCTTCCAGCCCCACTCCCACCCTGCTGCCCCGGCATTGAGCTGGCCCTGCGGGGACCCACGCGGCCCTGGTCTCTGCAGGTGTGGGACACGTGCACCACCTACAAGTGTCAGAAGACGTTGGAGGGCCATGACGGCATCGTGCTGGCTCTGTGCATCCAAGGGTGAGTGTGCACACGTGCACCTCCCTGGCCACGGTGCCCACGCCGGGCCAGGCACAGGAGATCCCGTGGGCCAGGGGCTCAAGCCTGTGCGGCCACGTGTGTCCTCAGATGGCCGTGTGTGCCCATCATGTGGGGCACCCTCACCCTCGAGTAGGGCTGGATGGCCAGGTGGAGGCACACGGGCCCTCCTGCTCTGAAGATGTACCGTTCTCGACGTGTAGCTGCGGCCCTGGGGTGCCTCGGGCACCTCGCTGGCCTGTAGCCAGAGCCCTGGGCACAGCTCAGGGAGAGGACCACCGAGTCGCCGGTCCCGCTACTCCCTCACCCCCAGGGTAGCCCCTTCTAGACCTTCCCTCCTGTCTCATGTCATGAGGCTTTACTTCGTGGGCATGAGCGTGAGAGACGGAGAGAGAGACGCTCGTTCCCAGGAAGCAGCGGCTGACGGCCAACAGCGCTGAAGGGGGTCATTATCTCCTGGCTCACTGTTGGACGCTTGCCAGGCAGGGGGTGGGGGCTGGACTTCCACTCCCAAGGTTCCCTTGCTGGGACAGGAACACCGAGGGCTCAAGGGGGCAGAAGTGGCCCTGGCGCCGGCCTGAGCTGCCGGGTCCTCTGGCTGCTGCCCCTCGGCCCGGCCCAGCCCAGCGGCATCTGCTGCCCTGACCCCGTGGCCCCGCCCCCCAGGTGCAAGCTGTACAGCGGCTCGGCGGACTGCACCATCATCGTGAGTGGGGCTGCAGCGGGCACGCGGGCTCTGGGCACCCCGGGCGTGCTGCCCTGCTGGGGCCTGAGGCTTTCTGTCCTCCTTCCTGCCAGGTGTGGGACATCCAGAACTTGCAGAAGGTGAACACGATCCGGGCCCATGACAACCCGGTGTGCACGCTGGTTTCCTCACACAACATGCTCTTCAGCGGCTCCCTGAAGGCCATCAAGGTCAGGCGCGGCACTGTGTGTACACGGGGCAGGGGGGCATCAAGGTGCCGGCTACGTGCCCCCAAGCCCATGCTCATGGCCATCCTCACAGGTCTGGGACATCGTGGGCACTGAACTGAAGCTGAAGAAGGAGCTCACAGGTCTCAACCACTGGGTCCGGGCCCTGGTGGCCGCCCAGAGCTACCTGTACAGCGGCTCCTACCAGACAATCAAGGTAGGCCCGGGGCGGGGGGTTCCTGTGGGGAGACCCCTCCGTCACCGCCCAGGCCTGCTCCGGGGGGACCCCGCCTCCACTGCCCCCTCACTGCTGGGGCAGAGAGACCCTCACACGCTTCCTAAGGGGACGGGTGGGCTGCTCACAGTGTCCAAAGCCTCCGAGGCCCTGGGGGTGAGGTGCCCGGCCTGGGACCAAGTGGCCTGAGCTTGTCCATAGATCTGGGACATCCGGACCCTCGACTGCATCCATGTCCTGCAGACATCTGGCGGCAGCGTCTACTCTATTGCTGTGACGAATCACCACATCGTCTGTGGCACCTATGAGAACCTCATCCATGTAAGGCGGGCGACTAGGGCCGGGCCTCCCTCTGGGCCCCTGTCCTCCCCCATCTGTGGCTCTGACCTGCCTGGGCCACTCCGTCAGGTGTGGGACATCGAGTCCAAGGAGCAGGTGCGGACCCTAACGGGCCATGTTGGCACCGTGTATGCCCTGGCAGTCATCTCAACGCCAGACCAGACCAAAGTCTTCAGCGCGTCCTATGACCGGTCTCTCAGGGTGTGTGCTGGCCTAGCGCCGGTGGGAGGCTGCGGGCGGGCGGCTGGTCTGGCTGGGCGCTTACACTCCGTGTGCCCCCAGGTCTGGAGTATGGACAACATGATCTGCACGCAGACGCTGCTGCGTCACCAGGGCAGTGTGACTGCGCTAGCTGTGTCCCGGGGCCGGCTCTTCTCAGGCGCTGTGGACAGCACTGTGAAGGTCAGGGCTTCCCGGGGGGCTGTGCACCTGCAGCAGGGGGCAGGGGCGGAGGAGCTAGAGGCCCTGGGCAGGGGGCACTGGAGGGCAAGTGTGCATGGCAGGTGGTGGTAAGGCAGCGTGGCTAAAGGGGCACCTGAAACAGAGCCCTTCCTCTGCAGGTTTGGACATGCTAACAGAGTGCAGGCCCGTCTTGGCTTCCTCTGCGGCCTCCCAGGCCGGTCCCAACCAGGCTGGCCATAGGAGGGGTCTGGGGGGGGGGGTCCCTGCCTGCCCTGTGGGGACAGGCAGACAGGCTCACCTGGCCAGGCAGTGCCCTCCCCGCCCGGCGAGCCTCCTTCTGCTTGGCCTTGTGATCGTCGTTGCCAGGACAGTGCCCAGCCCCTCTCTCTGGGTGCCAGGTACGATGCTCGCCCGGCCCACCCTCCATCCCCACCCCAGATGGGACTGTGGGCCTTTTTACTCACCTTTTCTACTGTTTTTAGACTGTATATAGATTTGATTACTTCCTGATTGAAATAAAAGCTGCACAGACTGTGGCTGTGAGTGGGGACAGTCCTTGGGTTGTCGGAGAGGCCACCAGAGAAGGCTGGTGTGCACGGGCACCGGCAGCCAGCAGGTGGGAGGCGGGGCGGGGCCACAAAAGGGCTCCTCCTGTCAGCCCCAGGGTGTGGCCCTCTTGGTGACTCCTCCCTGCCAGGAACAAGCTAGAGTCCCACTCTCCCCAACACACATCCCCAAGAAGTGAGCCAGGCAGCTCTGTTTTCTGCTGTTTATTTAGACAGCTGACAGCAGCTCCCTGCCCAGAACCCCCCTCCCCACTTGCTGGAGCCCCAGCCTGGGCCACCCACTAAAGAGAGACCAGGCGCACCCACCTGGGGAAGTGTCAGGGCATGACAGTTGGAAGGGGCCCCACACGCCCAGATGCCACCTTGGCCGATCCCCTCTGCCCGCCCGCATCACAACCGCTGGTTTTCGGCGTTGTTAAATCTATTTTTTTTTTTTTTTAAGAAATGTCAAAGTTGTGCCCAACACACGTGGATCAGCAAACACAATAGAGGAGGCCAGTCAGTACTTTTTGGAAAGGGGAGAAAGAGGAGAGAGGGCAAGAACGACCACACGACACAGCCTGGGACCATGAGCAGAAGCGTCCGCGGGAACTTGGATGGGGGAGGGCCCTGGGGAGGGAGGGTCAGGCACACCCTCACACGTGCCACACGCAGCCTGGCATGCATGCCCTGCACCCACCGCCGTCACCTGGCTGGTGTGCCCACGTTGCACACACAGCTCCCCCAAAGCTCAGGCGCACCTCCCACCAGCACCCCAGGAGAGCAGGGAGCCCTCCCCACTAGCTCCATGGTGTGGAGGACACAGCCCAGCAGCAAGCAAGGCACATCCTTCGAGTTCTTCAGACGCAGAGAAAAGTTAGGAGAGAGAGGGAGGGGAGGCCCTAGCGGAGCATGGACCCTCCCAGACCCCAGCCTCCTGTTTGTGCTACTGGGCCAGAGGTCCTGGACAGAGGGAGGGAACGATGGACAGACAGACGGCCAGGGCCTCTAACAGCTTTTGTCTTGAGCTAGACTTCAGTGTCCTTACAGTTGGTAAATGGTTTTCTATAGAATCAATAATATTTTTTCTTTCTTTAAATATATATTTGTTAAAGTTATACCTTTTTGTTTCTCTGGGGAAATCTGCCTCAGCTCATTCCCAATAAATACTCTCGATAGCTTATATTCTGGGGGTACAGTGGGGCAGGGGCACGACCCCAGCCCCAGCCCCTTGTGCTGCGCTGGAGCGGTGGGCGGAAGTCCCCAATGGGCAGCTCTGTGCTGGGCATAGGCCTGTGTGCTCTGCCACAGATTGGGGAGGGGGCCAAATTGGTTGCCCACCTCCCGCCTTCCGCCCGGGCAGGCCCTGCCTGGGCTCAGGGCAGGGGGCCGGGGCTGCCCCTCCTGCACCCGCAGCAGGCAGAGCCTGGCATGGGTGGGCAGGTAGCCCAGCAGTTATTGCACGGGGCGCAGCAGACAGGAACGGGCACCCACCGGGCAGCAGCGTTTACCCAGAGCCCTTGGGTCCCCTGGCCAGGCAGTCCTCCAGGCCGGCTGTCCGGCCTGGGCCCAGGGGCAGGAGTTGTGCTTGTGCAGGGGACGTCCGGGCCGTCCCCTGCCCCTGGCCGCCGTCGGCTGGCCGCCCTGCCCGCTCGCGCTGCGCCCAGAGGTGCCCACCCTGAGGTAAAGGTCAGTGTGCGGGCCCAGGCCCCGGCGGCGCGGGCGGGCCCGACGTGCTCGGCCGCGTCACTCCAGCATGGCGTCCAGCTGGTCCGCCAGGTCGTCGAACATGCTGCCGATGTCGTCCAGTATGCTGCCGGCGCTCTTCTCCTCCGCGGACAAGGAGCTGGGGGCGGGCGCGGCGTGAGCGGGCAGCGCGGGCGCGGCACACTCCGCCGCGACCCCTCTGCCCCCAGCCCCACCCCACCCCCCACCCCTGGCACGGCTCGACCCCATCCCCGCCGCCCCGGGCCCCGCCCGGCACGACCCGACCCCGCTCCGCTGCCCCGAGCCCCTTCCCGCACGGCTCAACCCCAGCCCTAGCCCCACACGGCTCAACCACGTCCCTCTGCCCAGCTGCACGAGGCCGGGTCCCGCCCCCGCTGCCCCGGGCCCCACCCCGCACGACTCGACTCGGTTCCCGCGGCCTACCCGCCCCGCCCCGGGCCCCGCCCTACACAACCCGTCCCCGCCCCCGCCCCCTGCCCCGGGTCCAGCCTCTCGCGGCTCGACCCCTGTCCTCGTTGCCCCAGGCCCCGCCCCGCATGGCCCGGGCCCCGCCCCGCATGGCTCGATCCCCGCCCCTGCCTCTGCCCCCCTCCACAGGGCCCGCCCCGCCCCCGCCCCACAGGGCCCCGCCCCGCACGACTCGTCCCCGTCCCCGCCGACCGGGGCCCCGCCCTCGACTCCAGCCTGTGGAGCTGTAGCCTCGGAGCGCGCGCGGGCTAGAGCGGCGCGCAGACCCGGTTCCCCGGCGAAGCCCGCCCCGCACCTACCGTGCGCCCTGCGCGTCCTCCTGCCGGATCTTTTCTTCTACGGCTTGCAGCGCCGCCGCCAGGCACGCGCTAGTCTCCTCCAGCTTCTGCCGGGCGCTGTCTCCCGGCGAGGCGCCGTCGGGCGCGGCAGGGGGCCCGGCTGCGGCTGCGGCTGCGGCTGCGCGTGGAGGCTTGGCGGGCACGTGCAGCGCGGGCGCGCCGGGGGACGGGGGCTTGGCGGGGCTGGCGCTTAGTGAGGGCGGCGTGCTGGCCGGCTTGGCGAGGGCGGCGGGCGGCTGGCGAGCCGGCGAGGGCGCGGGGGACGGGCTGGCACTGCCCGACTGCAGCCCCGCCGCGGCCTTGGCCGGCTTGGGCGCCGTGGGCGGCGGCGGCGGCTTGGGAGACACGGGCGGCGGCGTGCCATGGGCGCGCTTCACCTCTGCGGGGAGGAGGAGACTCGCACCGGGGGCGTGAGGCGGCGCTAGGCGCGCGCTGCCCATCCCGGCAGGAGCCCTGCGGCAGCGCCCCGCCTCGCCCCCGGGAGCGGAGACACCGCGGTCGGCACTGTGGGTCCGGCCGCGGCCCCGGCCCCAGCGCCCCCCTGCCCCTCCGACCCCAGGCTCCCCGCAGCCGCCAGGGGCGCGCTTCCCTATGCATACCTGCCCGCGTCACCGCTTCCAGACCCCTACCCCCGTCCCCCTTCAGGTGTGGCCTGCTGCAATCATTGGCCCTTGGGCTGATTGAATACCACAGGGCCTTTGACCTCTGATCCTTCTGCTTGGAAGCCCGCTCCCTCCCTCTTGTGCTGAGGTCACTCTCCAGCCTGGTCAGAGTTCTTCATGACCCAGCATCGTGCACCTGTCCTCCCTCCACAGGTGCTGTTATCCACGGGTTTCTGTGCCTCCTTCACTGAGCAAGGGGACAAACGTCCACCCTCCTCCCAGTTCTGGGCCAGCAGAGTTGTCCAGTGGGTGGGTGGCTGAGAGGGTCTGAGGGCACTTTCCCACCCCATTCCTGATGGCCTCGCTCAAATCCAAGAAGAGGAAAATCCCTCAGACCATGGAGTGGGGAGGGGCCCTTCCCCAGCTGGCTCCCGCACCTACCTGGGCTGCCAGGACCTGGCAGCGGCACCTTCTTGGAGGCAGGCGTGGGTGAGCCCTGGATCTTGGGCACAGGCTGAGCCAACACGGGCTTGGGAGAGACTGGCGGCTTGGCTGGCTTCCGGGTATCGGTGTCCGGCGGGGGCAGGGGGGGAAGGTGCAGCAGGTCGGAGGGTGGGGGTTCTGCAGGCGGCGGTGGGGGGGGCAGCTCCGGGGGCCCAGCCTGCTCAGAGGTGGGTCTGCGGCGCACGGTGCCTGTGCCGTTCTGGTAAACGGACAGTGTCGGTGGTGGCTCGGGACCTGCTTCCCGCTCTTTGGCCTTGGGCCGGCGCTTGACCGTGTCAGACTCAGTCAGGATGAACTTGACGTTCTCCTGCTGGCTCTGCTTGGCTCGGATGCGCCTTTTGAGCGTGGCACTGGCCTCCACCCTGGCCAGGGGCGGGCCCTCTGCACTCGCCTCACCCTTGGCTGGACCTCGAGACCGCTGCCGGGTGGCCCCATCCTCCACAAAGTGGCCATGATCTGCAGGCCCCCCTGACTCCCCAGGCCCCCGGCGGGCAGTGGCCAGAAGTCCCGTGACGGGCCCGCTGAGCGTGCGGCGCCGGTTCACCACCTCACCGTCAGGCCCGATGGCTTCCTTGTGCTTCACTGAGGCCAAAACTGTGGCTACCCGGCCTGGCTCCGGGCTGGCAGGGCGAGGTGTGGGGTGGCCCTCCGGGGGCCTGCGGGCCGCTCGGCCCCCGCCCCCGATGGAGGACAGCTCTAGCATGGCTGCGATGCTCTTCACGCTGCCAGCGCTGCCTGTGTCCACGCTGCCGGCCAGGTCACTAGCCCGCCGGCGCTGTGCCCGCACCCCCAGCCGGCCCTCCTCGGTCCCAGCCCCCTCCATCTCAGCATCCGGCACCGACTCGTCGGCCAGGTTGGCGCTGGCCATGGCGGAGCTGGAGCGCTTGGGCGGGGGCGGGGGCGGCCCCTTTTTTCGGGGCCGCACGGCAAAGGACTGGCTGCGGTTGACGTTCTTGTCGGTGCCGGCAGGCGCTCGCACCGAGTGGCTCCGGCCCACACGCCGCTGGACGGTGGCATAGGGTCCCGCGGCGGCTGGCACCAACAGCTCGTCCCGCTCTGGCTCACTGTCGGACGCTGCATAGCGATTCAGGCTGTGGGCACGCTTCTTGGGCCGCCCTGGCTCCACGTCGGCCTCCGGAGGCAGGCACAGTGTGGGCACGGGTGGGGGCGCAGCTGCAGGTGCGGGCCCGGGGGCAGCTGACCCTGCATCGCTCTCCACGGGCTGGGGTAGCACGTAGGCAAAGCCACGGTGCGTGGGTGACTGAGGCAACGAACGGGGTGACATGGGTCGCTCTGTTGGTGGCAGCAGCTGTGGGGTGGGCTTCACCTTGGCTGTGGCTGGGGTGGGACCATGAGGTCCCCCCAGGGCCTGAGGGGAGCCCGGCTGGGCTTTAGTGGGTGTCTGAGGGGGTGTGAAGTGGCCGGCACCTGGCGGAAGGACCTGCCGCGGTTTGCCTGGCACCGGGGGCACACTGGCCCGCTTGACACTGTGGCCATGGCGGCTGGGCCGGGTCTCCTTGGGTGGGGTGCCGGGGGCCAGCCCCTCATCCAGCAGGTACTCCTGGCTTCGTGACATGGGGCTGCCAGGCCCGGGGGGCCCATCACCCAGCAGCTCTTGAGAGCTGCTCATGTGCCGAGCCTGTCCACCCAGGCTGGGCTCCTGCCGCACGGAGGCCCTCGGCGTGGGGGGCAGGTGGTTGGAGGGCTTCTCGGCAGTGGTGGCGGCGGTGGCCCCCTCTGCCGGGCCGGTCATGGCAGCCTGCAGCTCGCCACTGAGCTCGCTGTCCTGGAAGGTGGTCATCTTAGGAGACTGGCATTCAGCCGGGGCTGGCTCAGGCGGGGTTGGCGACTCAATGGCCATCACTTCAAGTGACTGTGGGGCCTTCCGGCGCAGGGGTCCCCCCTCGTACTTGGCATACTCTGCCTTCTGCAGCTCCGCCAGTTTCCTTACCGCCAGCATCAACTTCTTCTGGTGTCCTGCGTGGGGCACGGGGTAGGTCAGGCCCGGGAGGGGAGCAGGGACCGGGAGACAGAGGGGGCCAGGGCCAGCGCCTCACCCAGCTTAGTGATGCCAATCTCCTGCAGGTCCTCCCAGGTGATGTCGGTGATGAAGTCGATGTTCTCGTAGCCGTTGTCCACCAGCACCTTGTAGTATTGGGCCAGGCCAATCATGGACAGCCACACTGCCAGGTTCGCCTGGGGAGCAAGAGGGCACAGAGGGCAGCCCGAGCTGGCTGGCCACACCCTGCTCACTGTTCAGAGCTTTCGGGGATAGGGGCACCGGGCCAGCCTGGCACAGACAGACAGAAGGACAAATGGACAGGCCAGAGGTGTCAGCTTTGGAGACAGCGCAACCTCAGTAGGAACCCAAGGCCAGCTCACACGCCTGTGCGAACACACGTAAACACACACACACAGGGACGACCCTATCCTCAGGACACCATTTGGGGGAGGGGAGGAACACGCTTCCTCACCTGCCAAGGCAGCCACGGGTACAACACCCAGGGGGACATGGCTGGCAACGTCACAGACACAGACACGCGGCGCCACCGGCCAGATACACACATCCACGCAGCCTGCATCCTGGCCATACACGGGCACCCACACCCTCCACATCGTGCTCACGCCCACTTGCACACCACGTTGGGCACAGGTCACGTAGCCACAGCACACACGCATGTAACTACCCATGATGTTCTTCACCCAGAACCACCTGTCCACACTCGCGGCTGGACATTACTCACCCACCAACACGCGGCACACGTGGTCACCCCCAGGTGCACAGAGCCACGTGTGGCCCAGGGGACAGGGACGTGCTCATTGGGAGCACCCCTGAGCCGCTGGCTGAGCGGGCTGAGCTGGGCCGGGTGAGCAGGACCCCGCCTGTCACCAACCCACAGCCCTGGGCGCCTTGGGTGGCAGTGGGATCTCTCCTGAAGTGCAGCGTGAGGCTCCCAGGCAGTGTAGATGCAACCGGCCTCGGGCCCACCTTACCCAGGCCCATACCCTGTCGCACCGCACCGGTGACTGTGGGTGACGGCACAGCCCGCGGTCTGCGTGGGTGTGTGCTGTCCACACAGCCAGCATGTGCCCTGGAAGTGTGGGTGTGTGCATGTGGTTGGCAACAGGCGCCTTGACGAGATGTGGTGCACGCGTGCGGTCTGTGTACATGAAGCGGACACACATCCTCCCCACGCACGGGCCTGGATGCGTGCCAGCCCTTCCCGTCCACATGGGGTCCCCTACGGCATCTGGGTGCCTACGCGGTGGGCGGCGCTGTGGGGTGCTGGCTGCTGCACCTGCCGTGGCCGCCCTAGGGTGGAGGAGTCCTGGTACTGCAGAGGGGCCCCCTCGTGGTTTCAGGCCCTTGCCCTGACAGTCCCCGGCCCCTGCCCCGGGAAGGCCAGCCCCAGTGCCCGGGACGAACAAACGGAGGCCGTCCTCTGTACTCTCCCTGGAACCCCAGAGAGCGGGTGAGGGCTGTAGCCAGGGAGGCAGTCAGTCTGTCTGTCTGACCACCCCGGGCACAGCCCCTGGGGTGCAGGGAGCCTTACGGGTTTGTGCTCAGGCAGCCAGTCGGGGAGGCTCAAGCCGCTGATCTCCGCGGTGATCTTCTTCCGGTGGCCCGGCTTGGTGACCCCAATGGCCGTGAGGTCCTAGGTGGAAGAGAGGCCCGTGAGTGGGAGGCTGGGGACCCAGCTCGGTCACGGCTGGTGGCCAGCCTCTGGCAGCTCACCTCCGGGGTCATGCGGCTGATGGTGGGCAGGTCGTAGCCAGCACTGATGAAATTGGGGGCGTAGAGCTGCAGCTGGAACGTGGCGAGCCACTGGCTCACGGCCTCGGCACTCTGGAAGACACAAGGCAGCCGCTGCAGGCTCGCCGCCCGCTCGCCCGCCAGCCGTGCACCCCGGCCACCGAGCCGGCTCCTCCTCTGCTCAGCCGCTCAGTCCGCCGTCCGCTGGTCCCCCTGCAGCCAGGCCCGGGGCAGCCTGGCCCCGGCATTCCTCTTCACGCTGTGCTCCCGGATGCCACCAAGGCGAGCTCCGTCGGCTGTCCGGCCTCCCGCCGCGGTATCCACCAGAAGGGTCCAGCTGCCGTCCGATCCACAGGCTTCCCTGCCCATCCCCCTGTTCCTGCGCCAGGGACACCCTGCGGCGGCCCCCACAAGGGGCTCGGGGGGCTCGGCAGTGCGGCCGCTCGGAGCAGCCCCTCCACTCCCGTGCGGGTGGGCTCTGTCCAGAGGTGTGCGGGAGGGACAGCCCCAGCTCGCAGCTTCCCAGCACACACGGCCCTTCTCACCCCGACACACACCTGGGCTCGCCTCACACCCAGGCCTCCTCCACACACACACACGCGCGCACACACACACACAAGCGCACGTGCCCGGCTCGCCATCACCACCCACACACAGGCGCAATCCCTGCTCACCTCACACCCACGTCACACTTCCCGGATGACCAGCTCACACACACAACCCACACAATAGACAACACCTACACACACAGACTGACAGACGGACAGAAGTACGGGCCTGGCCTGTCAAGGGCCCCCCGCCACGCTGTGGCCAGACCCACCAGGCTGCCCGGGAGCCCCTCCCCGCAGCCAGCCCGGGCCCTGTACCTTGCCCTCCGATGCCGGCTCCAGCTTCCTGGGCAACTGTTCCCCGTACACCTGCCCGGCGTGGGCCGCTGGAGGTTGGGCCCGGGCGGCACCTGGGGACGAGAGGGTTGGTGGGGCAGGGGCTGCTCGCTGCGGGGGGGGGGGGGCACCTCCTGGCCAGGGGCTGCTCTTACCTGTGGAGCCCTCTGGAGGCTTGACGGGGCTGTCCCCCGGGCTGGACTCGGAGACGGACTTCTGGGAGAGCACTGTTGCCAGGAGCTACAACCCAGACAGGCAGGCTGGCCAGAGCTGCTCTGTGCCCCAGCCCCCCCGGCCCTGGCCCCCAGACCACCTACCTTGACCCCTTCGGAGCCTGCGTGCAGGGTGTGGCCCCCACTGCCTCTTGCACCGGCCACGCCGCTCACGCTGCCGCTGCGATCCCCACCTGCCACCACGAGGGAGTCCCGTCAGCTGGTGCTGGCCCAGCCCGAGCCCAGGAGATGCCTCATGGAAGTGCTGCGGCCCTGACCTCCAGAGCTCCCCCACTCACCTGCAAAAGGCTTCCTCAGCACCCAGATCTCCTCAGGGGGTGCGGAGGGCCCTGATGAGCTGCCCACCTGCGATGGGCTTGGTTCGGCACCTGCTCGAGAACCTGCAGGCCAAGCACAGCCTCCCTGAATCTTGGACCAGCCAGGCATGGGGGCCTGACGCGGCAAGGGGCGCCCCTGGCCTGGCCCCAGAGCCTGGGCGGAGCAGAGGCCCCTCAGGTCAGCACTGCAGTCTCGTCTGGCCCCGGCTGTCTCCAGGGAGCTGAGAGAGCCTCAGAAGGCCCTTCCCCGCCCTACACATATCAGAGCAGGAGACCGTGGCAAGAGGGCCCAGGCCAGGCTGTCCTGCCAGTGGCCCTGTGGCCCTGGGTGGGGTATGGGGAGCAGGGAGAGACATGAGGTCCCCAAAAGCTTAGATGACCCCGGGTGGGCTGGCCATGCCTTCTCACTGGCCCCGCTCTGTCCCTTCACCTCACCCATTGATCTCCACATCCTCTCTAGGAGGTAAACCATCTCACTGATCCCCTGTCTGAAAGCAATCCATGCCCTGTGGCCTCGCCCCATACCCCCCTTCCTCAGTCTGTACCAGCCGTGTATGATGGCCTCCTTTAGGACCCCGACCCCTCACGCCTTCTTCTGTCCCGGTGCCTTTGTGTAGGTCATTCCTGCTGTCTGGATGCTCTGCCCAGGGCCAGCCCCTCCCGCTTCCTAGCGCCTTCTCTGACCACCCTGTCTAAAAAGCAGGTCTCTCTGCAACCGATGAATCATTAAATGGTACCCCAAAACTAATAACAATAAATAAAAAGCAGGTCTCCATCCACGTTGTCCACGGCACCAGTTAGCACATTTGCTCACATATTTACTTCACTGACCCCTGCTCCCCTCCCTCCCTCGGGGTGAGCTTGAGGCACGAATGCCGTGCATCTGGGTCACCATCTATTCCTGGCGGCTGGTGCGTACCGCCTATTAAATAAAAGAGGGAACCGGTGTGGGCATGCTGACAAGACAGCTGGCAGGACCCCACTCAGGACCCCACACTCAGCAGTGGCCTCGCCACCCAACACACACGCACTTGCTTCCTTCTGGTCCCCAAGCCCAGGCCCGGGTGGGACTTGCCTGCTCGCTTCACAATGGCCTCGCCCAGGGAGGATGGAAAGTAGCCCACCCGGTCGTTGCCTGTCCGGTTGTCATGGATACAGCCCTTCCACCGGCCATCCGGATGCTGCTCGAGGACCTGGCCAGATGAGATGGGGGAGCGTGCTCAAGGAGACATCCCTTCAGGTCCAGGTCAAGTGGGTGGCTGACCTGGGCCTCCCGCCCCGACCCCCAGACTCCCAAATTGCTATGCAGGGCGGCTGTGGGGTGAGCGCCCAGGGTCTGCCCATCCTTGCTCCGGCAGCCCCAGGCTGGCCTTACCGTGATGATGTCCCCAGCTTTCACATTGAGGCTGGTCAGGTCGTAATTGTTGCAATAATCCTTGGTTGCCCGGACCTGCAGGGCCGCTGAGGCCTCTGGGGACACAGGAGGCAGACCCCCCCCAGTCCTGCGAGCTGGCCTGGCCTAGCCGCCCCCCTCCCCGCCCCTCCCGGGTCCCCCACCCCCGCCCCAGACCCACCTCGCAGCAGTTGCTTGATCTCCTTGCTGGCCTGGGACGTGGTGAACTGGTGCACGATGTCCAGGGCCGTCTGGCTGTAGGTGTTCCTCACATGGGCATTAATCCCATTCTGTATGTGCCAGAGGGTGCGGCCTGTCAGGAGACCCCATGCTCCCACCGGGCCCCACCCCCTTGGCCCCCTGACTCACATCCAGCAGTAGCCGAACCACTTCCGTCTTCCCACAAAGTGCGGCCTCATGCAGGGCTGTGCCGGCCTTGGTCTGGCGGTTAATGTCAATGCCGGCTTGGAGGAGGAGTCTGGAAGGCAGGCGGGTGGGTGGGCGGAAGCAGGCAGCCCCTTACAGCAGGAGCCTTCCACCTCATCCCCCTGCTGGGCCCCCATTCCCAGGCGCCCCCCACAACATGCCGTTTGACAGTGACCGAGCATTTGTGGAAGTGCTAGCGCCCCCACCCCCAACAGATGGTAATGGCTGTCGGGGTCATCCTAGTGTAGCCACTGCCGGGATACCCACTTCACAGATGGGAGAACTGAGTCTCAGAGATGCTAAGTGTCTCCACAAGGTCGCTCAGCAAGAGGCGGGGCCCCAACAGAGCCCAGGCCTAGGGCTGTACAAGTCCACTCCCAGCCCCCCACCCCCACCCCCAGCATACCCTCTCTGGGCGGGGGCGGCCACTGACCACATGCCATGGCTTATGATGCAGCCGGAGCAGGAAGCCTGCAGCCGGGTCCCCCTCCTCTCCCACGCCGCAGCCATACCTGATGATGTCAATGTGGCCATTCTTGGCCGCCAGGTGCAGGGGGCTGGTGCCATTGGGGTCGGTGGTATCCCCTGGCCGGGGCTCCAGCAAGGCCGCACACATGTTGCTACTCAGGAGCAACTGGACCACCTTGAGGGAGGGGTCAGAGAAGGGGGGCCCAGAAGTGGGGTGGGAGGTCACAGGTGTGTCTCCCCACTGTCCCCCTCCTGGGGGGGCAGCCGGAGCAGACGGAGTCCCACTCAGCTCTCTAGGGAGACTTACCCCGACGCGGCCGAACTCACAGGCCAGGTCTAGGGGCGTCTTCCCCGAGTTGTCCACCATGCATGGGTTGGACTGGTGCTGCAGCAGCATCTCGGACTGTGGGGCCACGGGACGCAGTCAGCCCCCAGGGCAGCTGCTGAGCTTGCAACGCCCCGGCGCCCTGCCCCTGGGGTGCTCCTTACCACATCATAGTGACCATGCTGGGCTGCCAGGTGCAGCGGGATGTGGCCCTCGTCGGATGGGATGTTCACCGCTGAGCCTGCCTTCAGCACCAGCTTCATGGGCTCCTTCCGGCCCTGCCAGGCCGCGTAGTGCAGCGGCCGCATGCCTGGGAGCAGGCGGGGGTCGGGGGGGCGTTGGGAGCTAGTCCTTGACCCTGCACCCAATCTGGGCCCGCAGGATGCTGATCCCACGAAAGCCCGTCTCGACCCAGACCAAGACTCTGGGCTGGGGCCTCCATTATGGGACCGTTTAGGTTTCTAGGGACTCCACCCCGGACCTCGACCCCCGCCCTGGCTCTGAGGTTCCTGGCGGGCCTTGCCTTTGTTGTCCTTGATGTCCACAGCAGCCTGGGCCTCCAGCAGCAGGGTGATCAGTTCTGTGTTGCCATTCAGGGCCGCGTGGTGCAGGGCAGAGAAGCTGGGGCAGGCGACGGGTATGAATAGGCAAGGAGCCGGGCAACCCGGGCTTCCGCAGGAGCCCCCCACCGCACCCCATGCCATCCTGGTGCCCCCCGTCTGAGGACTCACCCATCAGGGTCCTGAAAGTTGACATTGATCTTCTTGGTGGAGCCCAGGAGCTCTAGGGGGGTGGGAGAGAGACAGTGAGGCAGTCCAACCCTGGCAGGCTCCGAGCCAAAGCTGTCTTAAATCTTTCATCAAGAAACATTCCTTCATTCATTCAACTCTGTCCCCTGCACTCAGCTCCAAGTACCAGCTTTTGGACCCCGGTTTCCCACCGAAATAAGGTGTTGCAGGTTCACAGAGTCAAGGGCTCCGGGCCTGTCCCCACGTGGGGACGAAGCCAGAGCTGTGCACCCACACAGGCACACACATGTGCACATGCACCCCCTCCTTGGGGACGCTGGCAAAGCACCTGCCGATGGCGGGAGGGAGAGAGCCGGCACAATCTGTTTCTCAGAAGGACCCAGATGGGGCCGGGGGTGGCCTGGGAAGGCTGGAACACCCGGAAATTGGGGTATCTCTGGGGGAAGATCTACATCTTCAGGGTGCAGCCTCCCCCCAGTCCCAGCCCTGGGCCTGCCCATGTGGATGAGTCCTGCCTGGCGAGGCAGGAAGGGGAGGCAGGTGAGTGGGTTGGTGCCCCTGAGTGACCACACAAGAAAGGCCACCACATTTCCGGGGGCCCATTTGAGTCCTGGGATCAGCCCACCCGAAGCCGAGGGGCCCAAGCCCTCTGTCTGGGGCCCCAGTTTCCTCCTGGGCCTCCCCGGTCCTGGCCTCCACCAGCTGACTGCTGGAGGGGGGGAGCCCACCGACGTCCTCCCTGTGGGCTCAGGGCCAGCCGGACTCAGGCCAAGCCCCTGCTTGTCTGGGCCATGGTTACATAACCCATTTGTGGGTCAGTCCCTCCGTGAGGGAAGGACTGGCAGGACAGAAGCCCCTTTGTCCAGGCCCAGGACAGGGGTGGGGGTGGGGGTCCCCGACAGCAGGAACCCAAGGGAGTCAAGTCACAGAGGGGCTGCTCCAGGACCCGCTTGGAGACCCACAGCATCCAGGGCTGCTCCGGACTCGGCTCTCAGCTGCTGGATGCCGGGTGTGAAGCCCTGATGGCCCACAAAGCCCACGAAGGCAGATGGACCCAAGTCCAAACTCTCATTGGGCTCTTACTAGCCCTATGGCCTTGGCCTTGAGCTCAAAGTGGGCTAAGGCCCCTCACAGGCCTTAGGGCGTGTCCACCCTTTAAACAAGAAGGGTCTGGCACAGAGTCGGTCAATAAGCGGCAGTTACTAATATTAGCTCTGTGGGAATCCCACCCCCACCCTCTGCAGCGAGGGGCTCCTCCTGCACAGAGTAGAGCGGAGGCATTACACGGCCCCACTCTTTCCCCTCTGCTCAACACTTTGCTTGCCCTGGTGTCCATCTAAGGTGGCAGCAATACCACCCTTCCCTCCACGTCCAGGCCAAAACCTGAGAGTCAGCCCTAAGTACCTTACAGCGCCTCCATCAGCAAATCCTATTGGTTCGACGTTCAAGACCATCTCAAAGTACACCCGGAATCCTACCACTTCCCACCACTGCCATGTCCCCACCCTGACCAGGCCAGCATCTCTCGAAGGATCACTGCCATCACTTCCCTACTGGCATCCCCGCTTCCACCCTGCCCCTCGGTCTGTCCTCCATACCACTGAGGTCAGGGGGACCCTGTGAGAACGTGAGTCAGATCCCACTGCCACGACTCCTCTCCCGAAGACCCTCCAACAGCACCCATGGCACTGGGGCAGAGAGCCAGCACTGGAAAATGGCCCACAAGACACAGCCCTCCTGCTTCACTTTCTCATCACCCCTCTTCCAGCCACACAAGCCTCCTTGATGCTCCACACGCCGGCCGCCCCTGCCACAGGGCCTTTGCACATGCTGTGTACATGTGAGGGGTGCAGTTCTTCCTCCTGTTATCCCCATGACTCCCTCCCTCACGTCCTTCAGGACTTTATCCATATGTCCCCATCTAGAACGGCAACCCCATCCTGTCCTGTGTCTGTTGTATTTCTCTCTCTAGCTCCTATCACTACTATTTATCTTGGTTGTTGTCCATCTCCATTGCTAAAGTACAAGCTCCATGAGGGTTTTTTTAAACTATTTTACTCACTGCTTTATCCTTGGTGGCTGAAACAGAGCCGGGCACCTATGAGGTGCTGGGTAAGCTGGCGACCCCCCACACTGCTGTCCTATACTGTCCCCTCCCCCACCCAGGGCCACACTCAGGATGTTCTCCCCCTGGAACACTCCGCCCAGCTCTGATGTTTCCTGCCCCTTCTTGTTAGTTCCAGTGGAGCTGGGTCTCCCCCGCCCCCAGCCTGGCCACACCTGTGGGCACTGACATTTTAGGAGGACTGGAGGTCAAGACCCAGGACGTGGCACAGACACCAGTGCGGAGGGGGTGTCTCCATCCAGAAAACTACTCCCTATAGAACGGGGGGGTCTTGCGAGGTCATCTCCCCCCCCCACTGCAGTTGCCCTCAGAGGAGAAAGTAGCTGGAAGGGGTAGAGGAGAGCCTGAGATCTTGGAGCAACCCCGATTTGCAAGGGGGACCGGGGGCTCCCAGGGAGGTCACACACCAGAAGCCCGCCTGGTGCCAGGGAGGCAGCCCCTCACAGGGACAGGTGCTCTGAATAAAGCTGGAGCAGGCATGGCCAGAGGGGCCTGGGCAGGGAGGGGGAAAGGGGGCATCGGTGTGACAAGTGGGGACCAAGACAAAGGCCCCAGAAACTCCTCCCAGGAGCCCCCTTTCTCTTTTCCCCAAGGGCACTCGGTCCTGCAGCTCCCACATGGGTCATGGGTATAACAGACTTCATCCCCACCCCACCCCACGTCGTGGGCTCTCCCAGCTCCTGTCACTCAGTCCTCTAACTGCTTTCCTGGGACCATCCCTGCTCTTGGGTTAGCCCCAAACTCCAGGCGGCAGAGGCCCTGGGAAAGCCAGCCTTAGTCCCTCTCCCACCCTACCCTTGGGGCCTCCCTCCACCTCCTGCTCAGAGGCTCCTTCAACCACAGAAGCCACTGGTCTGCCGGCCCCACAGAGCCACGTCTGTCCCCTGTAGGGATGTGGTCCTGGCCTCTGGTGGCAGCACAGGGCAGGGCACTCCCTCAGCCTCCCCAGGGCAGGCAGGGAGCTCTAGGCCAGATGCTGCAAGGGAAGTATTAGTGGGCCAAGGTGAGAGGACGCAGACTTACTGGCTGGTAGTCTGCAGTGAATTTGGGGAAGGGGACATGGGGCCAGAAGGGAGGGCAGATGTCCCCCGCTCAGCAGAAGGCCCTCCCCACCCTGGCAAGCTCCCTCCAGACCAGTGTCTCCTTCCTCTCAAGGAAAGGGGCCGAGGGTCCCGGTGCCCGAGCATGCATGCCAGGCGAGGCTCCCTTCGAGGCAGGATGGCACGGCTGACAGACCCCAGGGCAACACTCAGGGCTTGGGGTGGAGGGAAGGTGCCTAGAGGTCATGGAAACAAGGGTTATGGGAAGACCTCTGGAGTCGGGGGGGCTGGGGCCTGAGAGAGCACCGCTGGATGCCCCCCACCCCATGGCCCAAACTCCAGCTGTACTTTGCTGAATCAAAATACATCTTACTCCAAAGCAGGCCAGCGTTGCCATGACAACCGAGCTAATTCATGGAGGGATTTCTCTGTCTGATTTATTATGCCCGCCCCTGTGAGTCAGAGAGCTCAGATATGGGGGCCAGGGCAGGTCGTCTCTCCCAGAAAGCAGACCAGGCAGGCACAAATGCAAAGTTCCAGGTGGACACCCAGGTAGAGGGACAAGTCCTTGCACCTCCTCTGGATGGCCAAATCTGATGCCCCACTTCCCTGGAAGCCCATCCTGGGCTGCCTTCAGAAACAGTCATAGTTAGCACTTCCTGAGCACTTATGAAGTGTCTGGGCTTCCTGTGTGCTCTCCTGCTGTTCTTCCAACAATGCTATGAGCCAGGAACCGCCAATGTCCCCATCCTACAGATGAGGAGACTGAGGCCTGGAGAGCTGCAGTCGTCGGTGCCCAAGGTCACCTGGCCACTAGGTGGAAACCTTTACCTAGCCTTCCACCTCTCAATCAGTCCTCTGCTTGGAAGCCCTCCCTTTCTGAGCCCTGAGGCCCTGAAGCCCGCCCCAACTGGCAGACTATCCCTGGGCCTTGGGTGTGGAAGGCAGAGCCAGCCTGTATATGTGATCCTGCAAGGCTAACTGCACGGAGCAGACAGGGGACTGCAGCGGGAGGGGTCTTCCTGCCCCCACCACCAGCCCCAAGGCCCGCTCAGTTTTCTCAGCAGGCTTCCTGGAGAAAGGGGAGGGGCCTCCCTGGGTTACCTCCAGCCTCTGAGGGTGGGGTGGGGAGTGGGGGACCCAGACCCCACGTGCCATCCTGCGGAGCCTTGCCCGCGCCCGCACAGGTGCCCTGATACACTGACACGGCCATACGTGCGCAGCCGCACACGCAGCTGGTCCACACACCCATCCATCCATCTCCAGTGGCCCCCGGGGAGGCTCTGGGCTGAGCTGGGATGAGTGCTGGGATCAGGACTCCAAGCTCCCAACCCTTCCCAGGGGCCCTCACAGCGCAAGCTCAGGATGGCTAGTGGTAGCCCCCTCCCCCCCTCCCCAGCCCCTTTCCCAGCAGGGAAGCCAGAGAGGACCAGGGTCCGTGGCAGGGTCTGCACCTGCCTGGAGCACAGCCTGCCCTGGGCTGGGCGACCTTGGGCCTCTGCTCTCCCATGAGTAAATGGCCCCCAGCCGGCCATGCCTGGGCAGCCACACCCCCAGCATGGTCCTGCCCCCCATTTCCTGCTAAGCGTGTTATTAAACATGGGGCGGGGAGGTGGTCTGACAGGAACCGGCAGCCCTGTGGTCGCCCCTCACTGCCCGGGCCCCCTCCCTCTCTCCACGGTGGGGAAGGGGGGGGCGGCATCCGCCTCGCCCTTTGACGGTCCAGCAGAGCCCTCCAGCTGTCAGCCCGTAGCCCGGGAAGGGAGGGGGACGCCAGCGGCCAGGTGCCGGCTCGGGGGCTTGGGGGACGGCCGGGCGCTCGGTGCCGCCCCTCCTCCGGCGCTGGGGGCGGGGGTGCGGACCGAGGGTCTGGGCGCTGCTGGCCCCGCCCCGCCCCCGGGGACCCAACAGCATCCCCCCCCCACCCTCGCCGCCGCGCGCCGGGAGGGGTGGGGGGGCCGGCGCCCGCGGTAGCCCCCGCCCGCCCGCGCCCCCCGCACTCACTGGCCTTCCCGGGCCGCGGCCTCTGCAGCAGCCTCTGCGCGGTCCCCACGTCCTCCGCCTTCACCGCCTGCACCAGCTCTTGCTCCTTCCCCATGGCGCGGCCCGGCCGCAGCGACGCGGCTGCGCTCCGTGCGCTCGGCGCGGCTCAGAGGCGGCGGCGGCGGCCCCGCGGCCCCGGCCGCATCCTCTTGCCTCCCCCGCCGCCTCCTCCGCCACCCGCGCCCCGCGCCGTCCTCGGGCTCGGGCTCGGGCTCGGGCTCGGGCTCGGGTTCGGGCTCGGGCTCGGGCTCGGGCTCGGGCTCGGGCTCCCGGCGCCGAGGGGCGGGGAGCGCGTCACGGGCGGGGGGCGGCCCAGGGCGGGGGCGCGGCACCTGGCGCCGCCTCCCGGACGCCTGGGTCCCCCTCCTGCGGCCGCTGACCTCCGTCCGCCCGCGCCGGCCGCGCGCCCGGCTCCTTGGCTCCGCCCCTACATCGGGCCCCGTGCTCCCGAGACGCCCCCTCCCCACGTGCGGGCCGCGCCGGCCCGGCCGGCCTCTGCGGAGAGCCGGCGGCCCCGGGCGACCGCCAGGGGTCGGGGACGGCAACCGCCGGGGTGGGAGCTGGACACTGAGCCCCGGCACGGCGGCGGCGCGAGGCTGAGCCTGAGAGAGGCTTCCAGAGGCTGCGGGACCCAAGGGGGGAGGGACTCGGAGGCAGTGGGCGGGCGGGGACCCGGGCGCCGAGAGACCCGGGCACCCGCGGCGGCACGGGAGCGGGCCTGCCAGGGGCTGTCAGACATTTCTGGCCCGTGGTTCCCGTGGGAGGTGTCGAGGGATTGTGAAGAGGAATCTCCCAATAATGAATTCGGTGTCAGGGAACCCGCACCCCCACCCCCAACTGCTGCTTCTTCCCCTGCAGCCTCCAGCTTTCTCCATAAACAATGCAGGGCAACAGCTCCCTGCCCCCCAGCCTCAACCTGAACCCTGCCCCCAGTGCCGTCCCCTAGCACCCGCTGGGGTGCAGCCCCACAAGCCTACCACCCAAAGGGGCTCAACCCCTCATCCCCAGCACCCACGGGGTCACAGTCTTGCCCAGCACCAATCTGATCCCCCACCAAGTCTGTTAACCCTCCAGCCTCCAGCCACAGACCCTGGCGGTCCTGGGGCAGGACACTCCTGCTCCACAGACTCTGACCAGTTCCCACTCCCTCATGCTCCCCTGCGGGCACCACACACACAGGTACAGGTGCATACACACACACATACACATGCACAGAGGTCTCACCCCTCTGACCTCCTGGGCCTCGGGCCTTCACCCTTGTGGCTGCAGTATTCTACAGACAGATGGGTGGGGGTCTGAGTTCTGGCTCAGGCTCACTTTCCTCATTTGCAGGGAGGGGCAGATCATCACCTCACCAGGGCAAGGCTGTCAAGAGCTTTTGGAGGGGTCTGCACATATGATGGCCTGACACCCCTCTTCCTACAGCCAGACTATCAAGCAGGTCCAGGAGGAAGGTGACCGGGTTGGGGGGGGTGGGAAGCAGCAGGCACTAGGATCCCCTGATCCAGGCAGCTAATCCCCCCCCCCCGACTATAGGGTCTTCCTTGGAGTTTAGGGAGCAAGCTTAGGTCTCCCAGCACATGCTGGGCTCCTAGGGGGTGATGTGGGGTCTCTAAACTAAACACAAAGGCCTTTCCCTCCCATCCTTTATCGTGACCACTTCCCGGGCATCTGCTGGTTCAGGCACCATGCTGGTCACTTCATATTTACTGTGCCCATTTTACAGATGAAGAAACTGAGGCTCAGAGAAGCCAAGTGACCGGCCTAAGGTCCTAGAATCTCAAAGTCATGAGTCTGAGCTTTGAACCCACACTCACCTTGGCATTTGTCCCAGTTCTGCCTCTTACTGGGTTTGTTCTTCTGGTCACTTTGTCTTTCTGAACCTTGGTTTCCCTTCTGTAAAATGGGGGTGAGAATGAGAGATTTCCGTAAGTTGTTCAAGGATTACTTGTGATGGTATCCATAAAGCACCTTGCTGCAGAGCTTCGTTAAGTGCTCAGCAAGTGGCTTCTGTGGGTATGGTGATATTCTCGGCTCTCTGTACCTGGAGGGGCTATATTTTCCTCATCTTTGCATCTGTGGAGCCTAGCAGTGTGCCTGGCACACAAGAAGCATTACAAAGGATACAAACGAAAAGCTAGCTATTGTCCTGACCATTATTTTTATGTTTTGGCTGACTAAGGGAAACTACTCTGGCCTGAACCTAACATTTGCAGGGCCTGGGGCAAGGGTACAAAACAGAGGCCCACACACCAAATGTCGAGATATTTAAATGTCATAAACCATGCTAATAACTCATTAAGTAAAACATGTCCTATCCTCCTACCTGCACAAAAATACCTTCATCGTGTCCTGAGAGGCCAAGTTCCAAATTAGAATTCTCTAATTCCTCAGGGTAATGAACTGGCCCCAACTGCAGCCGCCCCACCTCCAGCTCTGTCCATACCCCACAAATAGGCACCCCATAGTCACTCCCCAGACCTACAAGGGGGTACCTTCTGTGGAGTCCATCTTCAGGAACACAGACCTGGGAAGAGAAGCTGTGCACATTCTGCTGGATTCACTCAGTTGGATGAAGGTAATGGCCTAGGAGTGCTCAAGAAGTCCTAGATCCACTACCAGCCAGCCCAGCAACTTTGGACGAGCCCTGACACTCAGCTGCCTCATCTGTAAAATGGGCCAGCAGCTCTGCCGGCAGCCCAGGGCTGATGGGAGGGTCCACATGAAAACAGAGATGTGCATTTGCCTGCAGTCCCCCCAGCCTGAGGAGGGGGTTTGGCATGGCAGGCCAGCCGCTCACTCGGGCTGGGGGATGAAGATGCAGAGGCGTGGGACTTGGGCAGCCCTCCAGGAAGTCAGGCCTCCGAGGATCCCGGGAGGAGGGGCTGCTGAGCCAGCAGAGTTGCCGAGCTTGGCTGGAGTAGGGCTGGCGGCTGCTTCACTGCAGCCCAGGCTGGCCCCCTTCCCAGCTGCATGGACGTCTCCGCTGGGGGCCTGCGCAGCCCCTGCTCCTGCCCAGCAGCTGGAGCTGCCCCTGGTGCTCCTCCCTGGTGCCCCTCCCAGCCCCCCAGAGCCCTGATGCCCGGCCCCTTACGTATGAAATGGGGATGATGGAATGCACCCCCCATGGGCTGCGGGGGGCACACGGCATTCAGCTGCCATAGTTACCATCATTCTCACGCACACCACCTCGGTAAAGCGCTCAGCTGGTGCTTGGTCCCTAAAAGGGGATCGACAAACATGCGTCCTGGCCCCTCTTCCTGTCCAGCAGTGATGCTGGAGCAGCTCAGGCTGGGTGGGGAGCCCCGCCCAGTCCGTCCGTTAGCCCTAGGCATAGAATACGTGCGGCCCCCGGGCTCTATCCAGAGCCCCACAGGAAAGGTCAACAGCCCAGGGCCTGGCCTCTGGGACGAAGGTGGGACCCACAGACACGTGGCATCCTCCAGCCTTCCCTTAGCCCCACCCCTCTCTCCTGCCCTCAGGCTCCTTGGTGGCTTCACACTGCTCTGGATGTCCTTCAGGTGCTGGGGTGCACAGAGCTCTTACTCTCCCAGCATTGCGACCACACATATTTGTCTGGCCCTCCCAGAGCTGCCTCTGAGCCCGGCAGAGCTCCAGCACTCAGAGAGGAGTTTGAGAAGGACATGCAAGGTGTCGGGGCTGCCCAGAAGGGGCAAGGTCAGCGGGGAGCTGGATTCACTCTGTTGGCTGAAGGCAATGGCCTAGGAGGGCTCAAGAAGTCCTAGAGCCGGCACGATAGGTTCTGTTCTGTTCCAGCTGTGTGCCCCGGAACGTATGACTCGACATCTCTGAGCCTCAGTTTCCTTGTCTCCAAAATGAGGGTGGTTTCTCCTCGGCAGAGCCAGTATGAAGACCTGATGCATAATGCAGGAAAACGTTCAGCACGGTCTGGTGGTTCCTCAAGAAGTTAAACAGACAGTTACCATGTGACCCAGCAATTCCACTCCTAGTATACAGAGACATGAGAACATGTGCTCCAGAAGACACTTGTGCGCAGGAACCTTCACAGCAGTATTAATTCCTAATAGCCAAAAAGTGAAAACAAGTCAAGTGTCCATCAGCAGGTGAGTGGATAAACAAGATGTGGTCTAGCCACACACTGTAATATTATTCAGCTATAAAAAGGAATGAAGCTCTGACACCTGCTACCACCTGGATGAACCTCGAAAACACAATGCTCAGCGAGAGAAGCCAGGGACAAAGGCCATGTACTGTAGGATTCCATTTATATGCAATACCCAGAACAGGCAAATCCATAGAGACGGGAAGTAGATTGGTGTTTGCCAGGGGCTGGGAGGTTGAGTGGGAAGAGGTAATGGGGAGAGACTGCACAGAGGTTTTCCTTTGGGGTGACGAACATGTTCCGGAACTAGACAGAGGTAGTGATGATTGCCTGGCACTGTGAATGTATTAAGTGCCACTGACTCGTTCACTTAAAAAATGGTGCATTTCAGGGGCGCCTGGCTGGGTCAGTTGGAAGAGCATGTGACTCTTGATCTCAGGGTCATGAATTCAAGCCCTACATTGGGTGCACAGAGCACTTAAAAAAAAAAAAAACTTAAAAAATGGTTGATTTCATAGTGTGTGGATTTTACCTCAATTAAAACAAACACAGCAGGGCGCCTGGGTGGCTCAGTTGGTTAAGCGACTGCCTTCGGCTCAGGTCATGATCCCAGGATCCTGGGATTGAGCCCTGCATCGGGCTCCCTGCTCAGCGGGAAGCCTGCTTCTCCCTCTCCCACTCCCCCAGCTTGTGTTCCCGCTCTCGCTGTGTCTCTCTCTTAAATAAATAAAATCTTAAAAAAAAATAAAATAAAAATAATGGACCACTCTGCAATGTGAAGGGCAGCCTGGATGGGGGCAAAAGTGGGGGTAGGGAGGCAGGGTAGGAGGTCACTCTGGCAGAGGGGGTGATGGACGCCTCTTGGCACAAAGAAGGGGAAGCCGTTTGGGGGAGGTCCATGATGGACTGTTTTGGCCATGGGATGTGGAGCTGTGTGGAGAGTTCAAGGGACAAGTCTACCAGGGAGGCGGATCTGAGCTGGAGACAGGGTGCAAGGCCCCCGAACAGGGGTGGCATTGGAAGTCCCAGAGCACGGACGAGCCCCTCAGGGTGAGTGGCGTGCAGAGACCAGAACTGTGGAGGGGACCAGCCACTAGGCGAAGGCAGAGAAAGACTGGCAGGAAGCTGAGGGGCAAGGGGAGCTTCCAGGAGCAGCGCTGTCAAGCACTGTGCAGATGTGTCAAGACGCAGAAGGACAAGTATGCATCGGGTTTGTCAGTGTGAGACCATCAGTGACCTTGTAATATTTTCACTGGAGCGCTGGGGGCACAAGATGACAGTGGGCTGAGGGGTGAGTGAGAAGTGAGGACGCCGGAATCAGAGAGGTGGTGAGAACGGCGCAGAGGGCCTGCTGGAGGGGGAGGTTGGGCTGAGGGGAAGGAAGGAGGGAGATGCGGAAGGTTCCTGGGACCCAGGGCCTGGGGGCGTCCTGAGGGTTTGTGGCCTTGGCCAAGGAGCCAGAGGAAGGAAAGGGGGTGTGTAGCTGCGTTTGTAAGCGTGGCAGGAAGAAACCACGGGGGAGCTGAGGCCACAGTGCCTGGAGTGTGGGAGTGCTGAATGGAACCGGAGGCATGAGGGACCCCAGTTTTGGAGGGGTCACTGAGGCTGAGTGGGCGGACAAGCGGGGCAGGCCAGAGCTGAAGAGGACTGAAAGGACCCAGACTAGGATTGCCATGTCTAGCAAATAAAACTATAGAACGCCCAGTTACATGTGAATTCCCCATAGGCAACGAGTGACTTTTTAGGATAAGTATATCTCATGGGACATACTTATACCAAAAAAAAAGTTGTTGTTTTTTTTTAATTATCGTTGCTTACTTGAAATTCAAATGTTAAGTGGGCGAGCGTCCTCCAACTTACGTGTGCATCCTAGCCAGGGGCGGGGGGTAGGAGACGGAGGAGAGGGGCTGGAGTGGCCCCGCCTCGGGACCAAGCCTGGAAAATGGGTAGCCGTCTGAAGGGTGCGGGGCCCAAGTGGGGAGAAGGCTGCGGCCAGGCATCATGGAGGCCTCTACTGGCTCCTCCCGCCCCAGAACATTGGTCTCGCCCCCCCACCACCGCGTAAGTCCCGTGGTGTCGCCTTAAGGGCCCATCGATAACTCTACGCTCGGCCGCGGCCTCTATCGATTCGCTCTGGCTCCGCTCGCCGTCCTGGGCCGCGGCGGAGCGCAGAGCCGCATGTAAGGTACGGTGGCCGCGGGACGAGGGCCAGAAAGCGGCCTCTGAGTGGCCGGGAGAGCGTGCCTGGGGGAAGCTGGCCCAGCGGGACGGAGTCAGGGCTGTCGGCGGAGCACCAGGGAGCCGGAGGGTCCGGCCAGAGGGCGCCCCCTCCCATCAAGCTTAGCCGCCGGCCTGCTACGCATGCGCAGCCGCTGCAGTAGGCTCTCCTCTCCGGCCGTTCCGCGGCCCTGCGCATGCGCGGCCCGCCCCTGCGGCAGAGCGGCGCCCCGGGCGTGACTGCCCCCTGCCGGCTGCGGGTGGGGGGGCGTCCCGGCCGGGTCCGTGGAGCGGGGAACGGAACACGCGCCTTGGAGTTCGGAGCTGTCCGCAGGTTGTCATGCGTCCCCTGAACCTCTAAGCCTCAGTTTCCACCTCTCTAAAATGGGAATGATAATGCCTATCTCTTAACACCGAGTGGGCCTAGAGAGTATTTCGTAAATACTGCACACTCCTCTCCTCTGCAGATGCTCTGACCTTTGACCCTTGCCTTTCAGAAGTCGCCTCCTGTGCAGGCCCGAGCCTTCTTCCACACCATGAACACGTCCCCCGGCACGGTGGGCAGTGACCCGGTGATCTTGGCCACTGCAGGCTACGACCACACAGTGCGGTTCTGGCAGGCGCACAGTGGGATCTGCACCCGCACGGTGCAGCATCAGGACTCTGTATCCTCCAGTGGGGAGGTGGGGAGGGCCGTACTGGGAAGGATGCGGGGTGGGTAACAGCCTGGGCAAAGGAACGGGTGCCTGGGCTGGAAAGGATGCAGCAGCCGAGCCAGATGGTGGGGGCCTCGAGTGCTCTGTTCATCCTCCTCAACAGACCTAGCAGGTGAACGCACTGGAGATCACGCCTGACCGCAGCATGATCGCTGCTGCAGGTACCTGTACCCTCAACCCGACCCCTGATCTCTGGTGGGCCCGCCTGGGCACAGCCACCCTTCAGTTTAGCGTGTGCCCCTAGGTTACCAGCACATTCGCATGTATGATCTCAGCTCCAACAACCCCAACCCCATCATCAGCTATGACGGGGTCAACAAGAACATTGCGTCCGTGGGCTTCCATGAGGACGGCCGCTGGATGTACACGGGTGGGGAGGACTGCACGGCCCGGATCTGGGACCTCAGGTGTGTGGCACTGGGCAGGAGGGGCCTGTTGCCGGGTGTGTGGGGGTGGGGGGCCAGGCGGGGACTGTCTCAGGCCAGGGCCCTCCAGGCAGAGGCTGAGACGGGGTTTTCTGTGTGGGTGATTTATTGAGGGCGGTGACGAAAGCAGGATAGGGCAGGGGTGAAGCCACACACGGAGGAGCCCAGCCTCAGCCTGATACCACAGGGAGCTCTGGAGAGTGAATGGCATCAGAGTGAGTCCCACCCGGGGCGAGGGGCTGCCCCTGGGGGGGGCCGAATCTCCCTTGGGTCTCTTGTAAGGCTGCTGCTACCAGCAGGGGAAAGAGCGTCTGGGGGCGCCAGCAGCGTCCAGTAGAGCGTATGTGTCCATCCCAAAGGTCCCGGAACCTGCAGTGTCAGCGCATCTTCCAGGTGAATGCACCCATTAATTGTGTGTGCCTGCACCCCAACCAGGTGAGGCGCACTCACAGGGCTGGGCACCGTGGGGCTTTGGAGGGCAGGGGACTCGCCCTCCCTCACCTCCCCTGCACCCCAGGCGGAGCTCATTGTGGGTGACCAGAGCGGCGCCATCCACATCTGGGACTTGAAAACTGACCACAATGAGCAGCTGATACCTGAGCCTGAGGTCTCCATCACGTCGGCCCACATTGACCCCGATGCCAGCTACATGGCAGCCGTCAACAGCACCGTGAGTCCGGGGTGTGAGTGCACCGGGGGAGGCCAGCTCAGCACCCGGTCCCTGATCTTCCTGATTCCCGGCACGTGGCTTTCCCCAGATGCTCCTCCCCTCCCCCCTGGGCCTGCTTCCTCATCCTGGGCTCCAGCTCCACCCCAGCCAGCAAAGCCAGAAAGCGGGGTGTTGCTCCTGACGCCCCCTCTCACTACTGCCATAGCTTAGCCAGCGAGCATCACTCCCACCTCCAGAACTTCTCAAGTGTCGACTTTCTTCTCCTCCCTGGCTCCTCCGGGCCCAAGTTTGCCTCCTCTCCCCACACAGCGGCTGTAGTCTCCCTGTGGCTGCCCTCCCTCCTCAATGACACCCTCCACCCACACACCACACTCCCTCAGCCGCCAGCACAGACTTCTGTGGTGCCTGCCCGACCCCACCATTCCCTGCACAAACCCTGTGGTGCCCTGGCTCCTTGCCGTGGCCCCAGTACACTGCGGGGTGGCCCCACTCTCCCGCCCGGCCTCATTTTCTCCCCTTCGACGTCCCTTACCCCTCAACGAATTGCTGGTCCCGTGGCGTCCCCACACTGCCCTCCGCTGGTCCCACTGACATGCCCTGCCTCCATCTTGTTCTGCATGCTCCCGCTGACCGGCAGCTTTCTGCATGAAGGCCTCCTGCTCTCAGCCTGCCTAGTGCTCCCCGCAGCCCGGACCCGCTGTGCCTGTCACACGTCCCTGGCCTCCAGATCCCGGTGTGCAGCCCCATGTGGGACGGCTGCCCCTGGATCCAGGTCTGGCCACCAGGGCCTTCTTCCCCGCATGTCCGACTGAAGGCTCAGGTGTCCCATGACTCCCCTCCAATCGCAGGGGAATTGCTACGTCTGGAACCTGACGGGGGGCATTGGTGACGAGGTGACACAGCTTATCCCCAAGACCAAGATCCCAGCGCACACCCGCTACGCCTTGCAGTGCCGCTTCAGCCCCGACTCTACGTGCGTACGGGGCCGGGAGGCTGGAGCCCTTGCACGGCAAAGGGGTGCAGTGTGGGCATGGCTGCTGATGGCACCCACACCGCACTCACGCCCATGCCTAGGCTTCTCGCCACCTGCTCGGCTGACCAGACGTGCAAGATTTGGAGGACATCCAACTTCTCCCTGATGACAGAGCTCAGCATCAAGAGCAGCAACCCGGGAGAGTCCTCCCGCGGCTGGATGTGGGGCTGTGCCTTCTCGGGAGACTCGCAGTACATCGTCACCGGTGAGCACCCCCACCCCCACCCCCACCCCACGCTGCCAGCCCGGTTCCTGCCGCAGCTGCCTGCACTCCTGCTGCCTGGGAACCAGCCTCCGGTGGGGCCTGGCCTGGGGCTGCGCCCTGAGCTGCTGCCTCCACCCCTCCCTGCAGCTTCCTCTGACAACCTGGCCCGGCTGTGGTGTGTGGAGACGGGAGAGATCAAGAGAGAGTATGGCGGCCACCAGAAAGCTGTCGTCTGCTTGGCCTTCAACGACAGCGTGCTGGGCTAGCCCGTGCTCCCCTGGGATTTCAGGTGGCTGTCCAAGGAGCACCTGCGGACTAGGTCTGCCCAGCTGCCCAGGTCAGAGTGAACCTCCATGGGCTAGCCTCTACTAGCCTGGCCAGCTGGAACTGCCTGGCCTACCCTGGCTCCCTCGGCCGGCTTAGACTGGCCAGGCTAGTATGCCCTGGGATTCTCTCAGCTCCCAGTTGCTTATGTGGATGTGACGAGGCTCAGAAGCCTACTTGAGCTAACCTTCACTTATTCCAGAAATTCCAGATCCACAGGGCCTGGAGGTCCCAGGCTGGTGCCCAACCCCAAGCCAGTGCTCCCCTGCCCCACTCTGCCCATTTTATGTCCCGAAGTCACAGAGAACACCGTTACGGCCAGGTGGAGGGTTTATTAGCTCCTGCCGGCAGCCACCCTCTGTGACTGGTGACGGGGCTGGCCTGGGGGACTGGCCAGGCTTTGAACTTAGTCTGGGAGGTAATAAAAGCAGACCGACACGCAGATGTTGCTGGGGAAGCAGATGTCGATGCATAGGTAGATCAGCCGCTGCCTCCAGGGCCCTGGGGGAAGGGGCCTCCGTGAACCCCAGAGGGCTCCTCCCCCTTCTCCCCAGACTGTTCTGCAGGAGCCCAGGCCTCATGATACCACCCCGACTTACCCTGTGCTCGACGGGCCCAGTAAATGGGTGTGTTCGTGCAGAGGTGCCGCACGGAATCCCCCACCTGGGCAGGGTCCACCTCATGGCCCCCCTGCACTACCAGCAGCTCCTGGGCAGAGTGGGTGTCCTGGCTGGGGCCGGGAGGCCCTTGACCCTGCACAGAAGGCTCTGGTGGGCCACGGCACAGGGGCACTGGCACTGTCCGGATTGGGGCAGGGCCTGTGCATCCCTGGACGTCTGGCCCACTGCCAGCACCACCCTCTACTCTTGTCAGCAGCCTCGGTCAAGGGAAGACAGGCCTTCTGTTCCTTGAAACCAGAGCTGCAGCCCGCCCCAGGCCTGGGCCGTACACAGGACCCTTTGTCTGTCCCCTGGCCTGGGGAGCCTGGCCGCATGGGGCTGCTTACCCTGGACATGTTCACCAGCAGCTGCAGGGTCTCGCGATCTCGGGGCTCCATCGGGCGGAGGAAGCAGGCCGGGTGTTCCAAGGGCCGGTAACAGACGCAGCCCTGGGGAGGCAGGCAGGTGAGGCAGGGCCACGCCAACATCCTCGGATGCTGGCCACACCCCCAGCCCACTCACACTCTGCCCATCGAACAGCACTGCCCAGCTGCGGTTGCTCTGAGCCGAGGTCACCCAGATGGTTGCCACGTTCCTGGCCGCATCCACCTGAGCAGTTTGGTTGGATCGGGGTGCCCCGGGGCTTGGGAGGGTCAGACGGAGCATCTGCAGCAGAGGCTGAGATCGGGGAGCTAGAGCTTAGCTGGGCAGGCTGGGACAGCCCCCGACCCACCCACCCCCCAAGTTCTACTGCGAGGTTTCCGACCCCCCCCACCCCTCTGGTCCTCCTGCCACTGCTTTGAGCCCTGGCTTCAGTGGAGGGCTGGGAGGTGCTGGCCTTCCCTTCCCCTTCCCACTGTCTGTGGCCCTGGCCAGGTCCCCAGAGGAGCTCACCTTGGGAGGACTGTGAGTGAAGCCAAGAAGCCCGCCAGCCACGGCCCCAGCAGCGGCCAGTGCCAGCAGCAGCAGGCCAGGGGCTCTGCAGCCCCCAGGGCCAGGCTTGGCCTTCACCTGGGGGCGCACTGCAGTCCGTGGGGCCTAAAGCAGAGACCAGGGAGCAGGCTGGCTCAGGAAGGCAGGGGCTGAGGTGTGCCAGGTGGGCCCTGCACTCCTGTCCCCTGCGCAGGCATGCCCTGGGTGTCTGTCCTGGGAGGGGGCGCTGGGTGGTTGGAGGCACTCACCTGGACAGGCCCAGGCCCGGGGCTGTCCTCACAGCAGTGCCTCTGCTCCATGCTGCAGCCCTGGTGACAATGTGCGGATTGTCTGCCGCCCCTTGGAGTCAGCTAGGGAAACCTTAGTACACCTGTGATGAGCCAAAGAACCGTCCCAGCTCCCTCCTCTCCTGACCCCACTGCTTCCCACCAGCCTGGCCACCTGATACCAGGGTTGGAGCCAGGACGCCCCCCCTGCTTGGGGTGGGGGTTGCCTGTCACAGTGCCTGGCTCTCCCGACACCCAGCCTGTGCAGACCAGGGAGTGTGGGGGCCCGAAAGGGTGAAGAGCACGGCTGTCAAGGAAATCGAGTCCCACGGATTGGCACGGAGGGTAGCCCAGGCCCCGGGCAGGGCGACTTTAGAGAGTCTGTTTGGGGACAGACTTCCATTTTCCTCTAGAGGCTGTTCCAGTGTCTTGAGCTATTTCTGGAGTCCCAGAGCTCAGCCCCTGGCAGCCCATCAATAAATGTGTTTCCCGGGCACCTGGGTGGCTCCATTGGTTAAGCAACTGCCTTCGGCTCAGGTCATGATCCTGGAGTCCCGGGATCGAGTCCCGCACTGGGCTCCCTGCTCGGCGGGGAGTCTGCTTCTCCCTCTGACCCTCCCCCTCTCATGTGCTCTTTCAAATAAATAAAATCTTTAAAAAATAAATGCGTTTCCTGAGTGATTAGTATGAGTGCATGCTGCCTTTGTCCTTCCATCCCCTGCACCCCCGGCCACTTGCCAGCCCCTCAGACGGGACGGGCTGATGGGCAGTCCGCAGCAAGCGGGACTGAGAGCAGGACAGCTTCCTGGCAGCTGACTGGAATATCCACATGCCCTGGGACAGTCCGTCAGGTCAGCCCGCCCCTCCCCTGCCCAGGATGGCCTCCTCTGCTCCTAGCTTGCACCTCTGACTTCTTGATGCTGTGGATTTTGTGTCAGGGCTCCCTCTGGCACTGGCAGCTCGCAGGACGTGCATGTTCTGCACCCCCTTCCCCCTGTGGCCCTCTCCTGTTCTTGCTCTCCTTTGTGCCACCGTCTTACTGGTTCTTCGGAACCCAGCCCTCTGTGTAATGGGCCTGGGATGCAGTGGCATCGTGGTGGTCAGCATCCCAGCTCTGGAATGAATCCCAGAATGCCGCCTTCTCAGATGCACCCCCCGCCCCATGCTAGGCAGCTGTAGCGTCTCAGCAAAAGCTGCTATCAAAACAGGGGCAAAGAATGCCAGAGTCAGCGCGGATTTGAGACTTTAATATGCATTTCGGTTCACACAGTGCAATGGGGGGCAGAGATGGGGTGCATGTGGGCTCCCAGGTTGCTGCCCGGCAGGAGAGGTGTTGCTGCTTGCCGCACCTGCTGCGTGCTCCTGGTGTGGGTGACAACGCCCTGACAGGCCTGCTCAATATCCAGACCCACCTTGAGCCGACCTCGCAGAGCCAACGTCAGCACCACCAACCTCACAGGCGCTGGCTGCCCTCGCGTTGCCCCACAGCAGAGTCCAAACCCCAGACACCCCGGGCCTCAGAAGAGCTGTGGGTTCAGACACCGTTTATTGCTATGAGTACTTTGAGAAAAAGGGAAGGAGTCACCCCGGGGCTAGGAGAGAAGCTTGTGGGAAATGCCACTGGGTACAGAGTGAGGCGCTGGGAAGGAGTCTGCCAAAAGGAACAGCTTCCCAGGCCCTACCCTACAAGTGCGGCTGGACGGTCTGCTTATCAGGTCAGCAACTTAGGAAACAGGGAGAAAAGGCCGGGACGCTCTGCCAAGAGCCCTCAGCTAGCAGGTGGACCCTGCCAGTTTTCCCGCTGGCCTCCGACAAGGAACTCCAGACCCAAAGGAAGTGGCCTCAAGGGCCACTGGCATCTAACTCCCACCCCAACTGAGGGTACGGGAGGAAAACAGGAAGAGACTGGATGTTTTGTAAAAGGATTTCCTGTTCTTGGGGACACCTCTTTCCTCCCCCACCCAGAGGGCGCCCAAGGCAACAGGCATTCCTTGGCCAGCACATGCCTTTAGCCGTGCTGCTGGCTGTGGGGCACGCAGACTTCTTCGGTGGGATTTTCCCTACGAGACAGAGCACAGCTATTAATTAACACACTTAAGATTCAATTCCACCGTTTGACAAAGTTGTTCAAAAGTTTAAAAAAATAATTTTTGGTACCGACACTACTCTGAGCTCTCTGCACAGCTGCCCAGAGTTCAGCAAAGGCATCCACACCCTCTTGGCCGCTCAGCTAAGAATATGCTCGGTCCAAATCAGCTGGATTTAAATGCACATTTGAGAAAGCTGAGGCTTAGCTGAACTGAGTTTACAGAACTCCGTGACCACGAATGAGGTGTGGCAGCCCTGGGTATCTGAAATCGAACAGACACTTGATTGTGACATCAAAGTGGTTTTTAAGTAAGTGTGGGGTGGTGGTGGTGAGGTCAGCACCCTGCACCCCAAGGACAGGGAGACAGCACTTGGGAGCAGCGCTGTCCTCCACTCCCACCCTGCAGGTGAGGGGCTGGGATGCTACAGCAGGCTCATCAGCAGATGACCGCACCAATGGGCCCTGGGTCTGTTTGTACAAGTTTCTCACAACAGTCAAAATCATCAGACCGTCCTCCCCTTTGGCCTGTAAGGGGGGGCCCGATCCCTGAATGCAATCTTCAATAAAACATCTAACATCCCTAGACCTGCCTCGGTCCCATCAGCAGGCTGGGTAACCACCCTGAGGTTACCTGTATCCTGGACAGATGCTAAGCCTGTTCTTGTCAATGGCATCCAATGCCCAGGACCCCCACAATGCCCTCCAGGTTCAAAAGTGCATCTTCAAATAGAAGCATCTGTAAACAATATCACCCCCCAAACGTTTACTTACAAGGTTAACAACTAGTGCCTTTACTTGACTCCACACATACTCTTTGAAGCCACCTAGCTGAGCAGATGCTTAAGCCCCACCTATTAATTTGGGTAAGTGGTTTTCAATTCATTTTATTCTGGAGATTAAAGACACTAAATCTTTAACCTTGAAGGGCAGGCAGAAGGTCAGCTATGCTGTCAACATAGAAGTCAGGGACCATTTTCTTCTTAGACATGCAGTCACTTTCCTGATTACTCTTCACATCCCCTAGAGTGGAAACGCCGGTGAGGGTCAGGATGGTCTTCAGGCCACAGGTGACGCCCAGGAGGATGTCCGTGTCCAGGCGGTCTCCCACCATGACGGTGCGCTCTGGGTTGATGCCGTACTCCTGGGACACGCAGTCGAATATGAAGCGGCTGGGCTTCCCTATGATGTCGGCCTGGCGCTGGGTGGCCATCTCCACGGCTCGGACCAGACAGCCGGTACCTGCGGGGCGGAGAGGTAGGGGAGGGAGGGGGGGGAGAGCACCCGGGGTCAGAGGACAGGAGGGGCCCGCGGCCCGCCCCCACCCCCGCGTCCCCGGGCCGCACGGACCCGCG